ATCCTGGATAAAGCAAAACTACTGAGAGAGTAAAAAGCTCAGTAGTTGCCAAGGGTTTAGGAGAAGGGGAGGGAGAGTTTAATAGAGGCAGCTCAGGGTTTTTAGGGCAGTGGAACTTGTCTGTATGATATTATAACTGTGCATACATGACACTATGCACTCGTCAAAACCCACAGAACTTCACAGCACGAAGACTGAACCTTAATGTATATAGAGTAAAAAGATCACTTAGAAAGTCTGGGAAACCCGAGGACAAAATGCAGAAGGCAAAGCAATGTAACTGCTTTACCGACTATGAAGCAATCTCACTGCAGGGGGCATTGGGGAAAGAAATTGACCTAAATAGCTTTGGAAGTGATCTGTAAAAGTAAAGGCGAAAGAAACTGTACATAAGCACTGTACTTCATTTGGTAGTTGATTCCAGCTGGGGTACATGTTAACAATTCTGATACTGCTATACATTGACACTGGAACTGAACAGTGAAGTAAATAGATGGCAGATGGTGGAAGCCAGGTTTCCCAGTGTTGGGATGGGGCTTTATGGCAAGAGGAGGCTAGAATGATTCATGGTAATAAATTAGAACTGGAGACAGGAGTATGAACTCATGTTATGTGTAGCTCAATGTAGATACAGACGGTTACATACATATACATAAATATATATATAGTGTGTGCATACACATGTAGTATAAACAACCCAAATGTCCCTCACTAATGAATGGAGAAACAAAATGTGGTATATCCACACAATAGAGTGTTATTTAGCCATTAAAAGGAATGGCATATTGGAACATGCTTTGACATGGATGAACCTTGAAAATATCATATTAAGTGAACCTAGTTACAAAAGACCACATGTTGTATAATTCTATTTATATGAAATGTCCAACATAGGCAAATTTAGAGTGACAGAATGTAGATTTGTGGTTGCTAAGGTCTGGGGGCTCAGGGGGTTGGGTTTCATTTTGAGAGTAATTAAAATGTCCTGGAGATTTTAATTTGCTTGATTTCTCTGTAGAAGTTGACACTGAGCAGTCACCCCTTTTCTCTTGACTTCTATGCCCCCCGTAGCTACTCCTCGGTCTCCTTTGCAATGGCAATTCCTCTACCCAGATAGTAAATGCTCCCAGTTTCCTTAGAGCTTGGTCCTAGGCCCTCAGAGACTGCCTTCAATCTTAGAGCTTCAACACCATTTTTTACAATTATGACTCACAAAATTTTGTTTCAAGCCTATCAGCAGTCTGGGACTACCAGAAATTGTTACTAGCACGGGGATCTATTTCACCTGTTCTAACAAAACCCCCTTAAAAAAAAAAAAAAGCATTTAATTATTTATTTTCAGAGAGAGGGGAAGGGAGGGAGAAAAAGAAGGAAGCATCGATGTGTGGTTGCCTCTCATGTGCCCTGAACCAGGGACCTGGCCTGCAACCCAGGCAAGTGCCCTGACTGGGAATCAAATCGGTGACCTTTTAGTTTGCAGACTCGCACTCAACCCACTGAGCCACACCAGCCAGGGCTAAAACCCCCTTTTTAAATGGCATCTTTCAATTTAAATGTTACAAGCTGAGTTTCATTACCCAGACTGTTCCCACAAAGAGAGCAATCACATCTGAGCTCCATTACCTGGCTTGTTCTCAAAAAAAGCACCATCACAAGGCCCGACTCCTGGAGGCCCCGTGGTAAATCCTGCACCCGGTCATTCTGCCTTGTGGGTCCTGATGTCACATTTTTATTTTCCAAGGGTTCTTTCTTCTTCAAGTGTACTTACAAAAACAAACAAAAACAAACAAACAAAAAAACCCCCAACCATCTTTATTTTTGTTGGATACCCTGAAAAAAGTTTTTGAAGTTTGCTTTTCGTGTTCCCTTTGTCGTCTCCCTTCTTGGCTTTCAAGTCTGTGCTCCTCGTTGGAGGCTGTTCTCCAATGTCTGGTGTTCAGTACTGTTCTCTGGACATTTTAGAGTAGGGCACAAGTGGATAAGAAGCTTTGCGCCTGAGGGAGAGGTGACTTTCCATCTGGTTAGCTCAGTGTGGGGGACAGGAAAGGGAAATAGCCCTTCCTTTGGATGGCCTTTTCTTGGAGGCAGCTCAGTTTCCCCGGAGAAGGATCCTTCCGTTTTCCTCCTATGGCACGTAAGGCCCCTTGCCAGGGTCCTGGGAACGAAGTGGGGCTGGAAGGCTCGCTGCCTTTGTGAGCTCCCAGGGCACCCTGGCCAGCCACAGCCCCTGGCACCCGTCTTATTGATAATGTTTTCACAATGTATTGTAAGCCCAGGAAGGCAGGGGCCCTGTCTGTCCTTTTCACATACCCCCAGCCTTCAGCTCAATCTGTGGTACGTAGTAAGCAAACATTCAAAAATCTTCGCTGAATGAAAAACTGGAAGGGCTCTCATTCTAGAACTTTGTTTAGTATGCAGGAGCCCTTCAAGGATCAGAATTCTCCTACCCAGAGCATTTGAGATTCTGCCTGGAATCTGGATCAGGCCACTTCCATCCTCCGCAGCCCACGCGCAGCCCACAGCTCTAAATGTCACGGATTCCTTTTCTCTCAGCAGCAGTCTGCTCACCCTGATGACGGACACATTGCAGATGAAGTGAACAAAAAAAAAAAATGCATGCCCTTGGAAGATGGCCTGGGTTACTTGTTCTTGGTTCCTGTGCCTGTACACATTGTAACGGTTATCCAAGAAGTTCTCTGATTAAGTTGGTACCATTCTTAGAACTTAGGAGGTAACCTGTATAAATAGCTCATCTTCTGAGGATGGAATGTTTTAAGTTCCTTTTAGGTGATGAGGTCTGGTCTGCTCATCAAGGAGAAAAGAAGCTGCTCTTTGGGGAGGGAGCCTTACAGACACTAACTGACACCCAGCACTTTGACTGGTGAATGCCATGCTGGGAAGCACACAAAAAAGGCAGTGGCAAAGGCAGGGGCCTGGCTGGGTTGCTCAGTGGGTTAGAGCCTTGTCCCGCCTTGTCCCGATATGTCAAGGTTGCACGTTCAATCTCCGGTCAGGGCGCATACAAGAACCAACCAATGAATGCATAAATGAGGGGAACAACAAATTGATGTTTCTCCCTCTCTTTCTCTCAAATCAGTTTTTAAAAAAAGGCAGAGGCAGAAAACATGAACATGACACGTGAGAGATGGGAGAAAGCTACCTATAAGGAATAAACAAGGGCTCCTTGTGAGGAGGAGGAAGAGAAGGGAAAGTAAGGCCCCATGTGTGAGTTAGGCTGGGCACAGGATGAGCCGGTCTAACAAGAGACCCAACTACACCATGGCTTACAGAAGGTAGAACTTATTCCCCCGCCCTCCAACAGCCCCGAAGCAGGCGCTCCAGGCAGGCGGGGTGCCTTTGCTCTCTGTAGTCTTTCAGACTGAGAAACCTGCTTTTCTTATCCCTCTTTTCCTTAGTGAGTTATCTTTGACTTCATGGTCTTGTCTGGAACACCTTCGCTTTGTAGGAGGTACTTTGGAATGCCTCATTCAGTAAGGAATGGAGGAAATTGCTGAAGGCTCTAGGGAGGGTTAAAAACACACACACCCCCACCCCCACCCTACAAACCGAAATCTTGAGATACTGAATGAGGGTCACTTACTCAAGTATACAGCCAGGGACATTCCATACCCAAGATACAATGGGTAGTGTTTGCTTCTCAGAAGAGGAAATGATGGAAGATTGCTGGAGTTTGACTCCAGCTTTGAAAGCAAGTACTGAGTATTTAACAGCATCTCTCACACCTCAATTTTTAAGCAATCTTCCATTTCCTGGAAGAGTCAGAAAAAGGGAAAAAAATACAATTCATTTACATTAGCAAACTAATATTAGTTTGCTAATGTAAATGAATTATAGTAATTATATTTATATATTTTCATTCATCTTATTCTAAATATTTGTTATGACAATTATAGTTACATTGTTTAATAATAATGACTAAATACTATTTATCAGATTCCCTTATACTTTAGGTATAATTCGTCAATACAGTGGACCAGATTCACAAACACTGCCTTATCTATAGAGAATTTCTAAAGCAAAGCACTGATTCAAATATGGCCATTTCTCTTCATTGTTTTGCTTTCAACTAAAATACTAACTTCTATTTTTCACCAGGTACATTTTTTGCAAAGAACCCTCTGAAAAACTTCCAGCAGCTGGATTTGGCAGGAAATTGTGTGAGCAGTGATGGATGGCTTACCTTCCTGGGTATATTTGAAAATCTTAAGCAATTAGTGTTTTTTGACTTCAGTACTGAAAGATTTTTGCCTGATGCAGCATTAGTCAGAAAACTTGGCCATGTGTTATCTAAGTTAACTTTTTTGCAGGAAGCTAGGCTTGTTGGGTGGCAATTTGATGATGATGATGATGTCAGTGTTATTAAAGGTACTTTTAAACTAGTAACTGATTAAATAAAGGGCCCCCTGAGCCCACCAGTGCTCTGGGGATTCCACTACTCTCAGCCTGGTGATTTAAAAATCTTTGCTCATGTAGTCCAAGGGCCTATGTGGCAATGAATCATACGCCTAAATCATCTGTGTCAACAGCATCTGCCCACCTCGCCCCTTCTCTCGCTTCCCTCCCTTTTGTCATCAGGATGCACGGCACCATCCCTTCCTTAGCAGTCCTCTTGTGTGGGAATCTACTTAGTCTCACCCTTCAGGAAAACAGAGGATGCCAGGAAGATGAGGCCAAAATGAGGGAGGGGGTTTGCTGATGATGAGCAGTATGTGCCGTCACTCCTACTAGCATTATCAGCTACTTGAAGGAGACTCCTATTCATCCTGGGTCCCCTTGGTCCCAAGAATAGCAGGTCACGAAAATTCATATAGTGTATGCATGTTTACTTAGTACAGTGCCTGGTATGTACGAGACTCTCAATAAGAATTTGCTAATTATGAGATCATTAAATTACCAGTAAATAGCTATTGAATAAAGAAACAAGCCAAAATTATATAAATATCACAGAAAAGTCCATGTCTGTTTTTTATTCAAAAAGTTTAATTCAAAGTTTGGAATGTGAAAAGCATTTTCTCATATAAGAAGCAGATCAGACTCCCAGGAAAGACTGGCATCATTTAGTCAAGCATAAAAATTGGCAGTTTACGGGCAGCTGAATCAGAGGCTTGAAATTCAGGTCCTCCCCAGTTGCTGATACATGTTATGTCATTTCCACTGTGACTTCAGAGATTAAGGAAGAAATAAAAATGTACCTCATTCTTCCATACCCTATGGAAGCCAAGGGTATCTTGTCCTAATCTTGTCTCTCACAGCCCATAAAAATAATCCTTTCCCACAAAGAAATAAGTCTAAGAAAAATCTGTTTAAACAGATTTAAAGATTTATTTGAGGCAAGTCTGAAAGAAACAAAATTCTAAATGGTGTTAGCCTGCAGTTCACCTTCTATTTTCATGGCACCTCAAATTAATGGCTTGGGTGTTGGTGTAGGTGACACTTGGCCTCTATGTTGAGGTGGTCACTGGGAAGAAATGCTGGGCACAATATTCTGTTGAGCAAGTGGGCATATATTCTACAGATTCAGTCATACAATTTTAGAGCTGATAGTCAGAGATCAACTAATTCATCCTCCATCCTAACTTTAGAGAAAGTGACTTGCCCCTGGTTACAAAACAACTTACAGGGAGGCAGTATCAGGGTTAGAATCCAATTCTTGTCTTCCAGTCTAGTGTTTCTCTCCGTTGCAAATAGTGATTTCTCAAACAGCGCAAATCATACTCCATAAAGCTTACTCTTAATCACAAACCATGGGCCAAGTATTTAATTTGAACTTCCTTCTTAAAAAACCTATCTTCAGGTAACTCTGTAGCAAGATTTGCTAAGAAGGCTACTGCCGAAAGGCCTATACGGGCCAAGCTTCCTGTTTTCGTATCCAGAAGCTGGCCAGAGTCTAGCAAATGATGGACCAAAGTCACCTGCAGCAGCTGGCATTACTGAATTGCAGCAAATAGAGCCAATTCCTTCAGAACCCACAGGCAACTTCTCCAATAGCGTACATGGCACGAAAGCACCTTTGGTGGGTTGACCGCACAGGTGTTGCTTCTGAATGGCTGTTGAGGAAGTAGGCATTTAACCTCATACAGAGCTGTGTTCAGCACCTGGACACTTGAAAAATCCCATGGGGATAAGATGATGTGCATAGAGTGGCAGCACATACCTCTTAATCATCACTCAGTACATGACAGTCCTTCAGATTTCATGCATGACCCGAATGCACATTTAGATGAGGTCAATGGAGGGAAAATCACCCTGTAATAGTAGATCAATAATAGGTATAGCAATAGTTGGAGAACATAAGACAAAGGACAAGAAACAGTTTGCCTTATCACATTTTACAAAGTTTCATTTTCCCCAGCAGTCAAGGTAGGGTGCCCTCTATTTCTTCAGTAGGTCGAGTGCCTGCACAGGGTCTCAGGGGTCAAGACAATGACCAACTCCTCACCAAGCAAATGTTACTTGAGACACGGTCATTTACTACCACAGGGTAACTGCAGTTCTACTTGATGGAGATGGCTTCTTAGGTGTTTGTTATTTCACAGTGAAGAAAAGGATTTGGAAGCATTGTTCAAATTTAAAAGTAGATGAGGTAATTGAAGAAACTGTTGCAAATTCTAAAAAAACAAAAATCTTCTCTAGATAACTAGCTGATGTCTGGAAATGTCACAATCTCCAGGAGCCACTGGATTCCAGAAAACTTGAATTCACTCTTAAAATCACTTTTTAAAACCCTAATCATAAAACTCATGATATAATGAAAACAATCATAGGTAAATATGTGACTGCTGCTTGTTATATTTTTAATAAGTAATGCTGGCCATGCTGGAAAGTATTTAACATTTGCACTTGGAAAATAAGCAAAAAATAAAATAATTTATGTAATTCTCACACTCATCACAGTTAACAATTCACTATGTTTGACAAAGTGCAATCAAGTAAGTTTAGAAACTGCCTGTAGCAGATCTGAAAATACTGTATTCTACAATCTAAAGTCCATTATATTTTGGTAAAATTGTGTAATATAAACTAAAATTGATTACGCAACTTTGAAAAGATATCAAATCCCGTATTATGTATAGAATTCCACATATTTCGGGAACATATTTGATATGTTTTGTTAATAAAATGAGAAGTTAAAAAGTCAACCAATGAAAAAATGACAAAAAAGATAAATTCTATCATTATGTCAGTACCTGATATGTATGACAGAAAAACTGGTATCCCTTTACTCACATCACCAAAGAATTTGTTACTCATTAACCAGAATAAAAACACTTTAAGAACCACGGACTATTCACAAATGTGCTGAAATATTTAAATGACCAAAACCAGGTAGTAGAGTATGTTCCAAATTTTCTGATGAGATTTTTTGCTTTTACTTTGTAAGACATAATTCAGGAGGACCTCAAATAAAAGGGTAGCGGTTAAGTTTGGAAAAGCTGTAAAAGAGACTTTTACTTTTAGGATGGACACGTTTTTCCTTTCCTAAAATGTGTATCATTATTCAAGAAGCAGGTTTATTCATTTCACTGAAAATACTGTATATTTAATAATGCGGTAGATTTACTCAAGTGGCGGCTCTCTTGCAAAGGCAATCTCATATCACACTGCAGTCAATTACAAAACCAAAGATAGCAAAATTCATAGAAATATGCTCTAAAGCCTATTTAAAGCCTACAACATTTAAAGGTTTTCAGCATCCTAAATACATTTACAAAAATATAATTTCACTGGTTTCATATAATGTGAACTAGACTACTATTCTCTAACATTTACAATAAATGATTTAACAGTCAATGCAAAGTTGGATTCTAAATAAACTGGAAGTCAAGAAGGCAACAGTCCTCATACAATAAATTAAATTATAGCACGTCATGGTCTTGGCTGTCCAATTCTATTGTTAGTTCCATATCTATTGGGTATGTTTGTAACACCAGTCCTGAATCCTTGGGTTGCTCCAATCCCTGGAACTGCAAGTCCTTGATTAAGCATGCTGCTATAAGGTATGTGTCCATGATTAAGACCCAAACCATAAGGTCTTGTTTGTGTGTTTAGAAGAATAACAGGGTTCACATTTTTTCCAGGGGTGTTAAATGAAAATTCTGGAGGTGGACTACTAGGTTTAGTTGGAGTCGATGTGACAGGATTCGACTCATCAGTGCCCTTTAAAGGAGGCATTGGGATTATGTGATGATCTGAAAAATTTAGGACATTAGTTGCAACAGGCCCAGACAGTAAGGCAGGCCTTATCCAGTCATCCTTGAAAATCTGAACAGTCAGAGTAGACACTAGAGTGTACAGCCTGTTGGTCACATGAGCAAGAACCATTTGTTCGTTTGCATCTCGTCGAATTCTTACATGCACTGATCCAGCCTAAAAGGGGCAAAATCATAAGAAAGAGACTGCTTAGAATTATGCTACTGATAATTCCATTAGAAATGAACATATTATTTATGAGTTTTTTGTAACAGTACTTGGTATTTTCTTTAATACAAAGGAAGCTCAATGTCTTGATGTTCCTTAAAGACTACTTAGTGGTGAAGTAGCAAGGCAAAGAGTTAATGAAATAATTCATGACTTTTTAAATAAAACATGATTTTTTAGAAGAGAGAGAGAGAGAGAGAGAGATCGATATAGGAGGAAGACAGGCATGTTATAACACAAGGCAGAATATAAATGAAGTATATAAAAAGTGCAATGGAAAGGCTGAAAAAGTAGATAATGCAAATTGAGAAAGACTTCAAGAAAAGTACATGTGATCTAGGGTTGATGGTTAAATGAAATTTCAAAAGGTAGAGACAGGCTTAGGAAATAGTAATTAAAATGCACGACATGTTTGGGCAAGAAAAAGCAGTATCACTAATACATAAAGTACAAATATCCCAGGGGGGCAGAAAAAGAATAAAAGAAAGAAGAGAAAGGAGGAAAAGAGGAAACAAAGAAAGAATGGAAAGAAGAAAGGTAAGTAATGGGCTTAAAAAGAAGGGCTAGAAGAGGTGTCTGAATATCGTAAGTTTTAACAACAGCAATAAAATAAAGAGTTCAGAAACATTATACATATGGATGATTGCCAATTATGTAAGAAATGACTGCAACAGCCTAGATTAAAATGAAGAGGTCTGAGATAGGACAGAGTGGGATCAGAGAGGACAGATGGGTTCATGACATTCCATGAATTAGTAGTGGGAGGACTTGATGCCCAACTGCACGTGATAGATGAGTGCGACAGGCTCATCAGAGATGATTTCAAGGTTTCTAGCCCAGGTTACTAGGAGACAGAGAGCACCAGGCATTACAGTGAGGGTAAGAAGTCTGTTTATAAACTTGAGAAAACATTTCATCATACACTGTGTTTTTAAAGTAGATAATAAAATAGTAGGTACAACAATGATCCTATTTTGATTAAAACAGAGAAATATCAAGCATGTTATCACTAGATGGTAGAATTATTAAAGATTTTTATTCTTTTTGACTTAGTTGTAAGTTCTAATTGGGTAGCAGTGTATAATAAAAACTTAAATAAAAAATAGATAATAAAAATTAAATAAAATATCCAACTGACATTCCATGTTGATTTCTAGATAAACTCAGATTTTCAAAAAAGAAAAAGTACAACAAAGCATAAACTGCACATACATTGGCCAGGTGGCTTAGTTAAAATGTGTCTGAATCTACAACTTAAGCAGTAATAATTATTATCAATCATGAGACAGAGAAAATATCTGTATTGCTTGAATTTGACAAGCCACGTCTAGAAATCAAGGCTTTAGATTCCTCCTTCCCTTTGCCGCTGCCACCTCACTGCTGCCACCGCTCATGAACCTACAGCAGATCCTGCGTCCTCTTTCAGTCTGATGCAGGGACCAAAGTAAAGTGACTGAAAACCATTTCTGAGTGTGAACTTCAACAGTCTCCTACAATTATGGTGTTTGCATTAATCTATAGCTTTTGTGACATCTATTCTTGGCAGCTCAAAAGGTTGTTGTAATAATTTCCTTGGTCTTAATTAGACACTGCATCATCAGTGTGGTTGTCACATGGCCAGGTTCTGAATAGCTGAGATGATTGTATTCTTTGTGTTTATAAGCCACCAAGCTTAATAAACACTTGCCTACTAATTTATTGCTATCAGTACAATTAGAAGAATGATTAAGAATGAACTACATTACTGGAGGAATATAAACTGGTATAACCATTTTTGGAAAGCAATTTAGCAATTGGCACCAAAAGCCATAAAAAGTGTAATATGCTTTTACTAACAAAACCCCCTTCTAAAAAAATTAATCTTTTTAAGAAAAATACTGATTGATTTTTCATTTACTGAAGGGAAGACAAGTGCTGTTTTAGATGCTTGGGTTACCTGAGGTTTCTGTGTGGCCAGGGATGCCTGTGGGGCCCCCACCACATACACACACACCCCTCTACCTGGGCTCCACCTGGACTTAATGGACGACCTACGTTCAGGAGAGGCACAGGTTTAACAGTGGAAAGGACAGCTACCACTCCGGTGGGGGTTCTGAGCGCCCCAGCCCACTGAGCACCGGGGTATACTGCTACTGAGGCCTCCGTTTGCTTCTACCCATAGGTGGCCCCCAGGGCCTCTTGGCCTTCACCTGAGGCTACCTAAGGACACACAGGTACAGCTCAGGGTGATCCCAGATAAGGTGGGGTCTTTGACTCTCCAGCCACTCCAGGCAAGACTGTGTGGTGCAGATCCAATGAGGTAGTGTGGCTGCATCTGTTCAGGTCTACCTCGGGACTTGAGCCTGTTTAGGGACCTCCATCCCTCACTTCTTTTCTGAGAAAATTTAGTTCTGGAGGCTGCAAAGCCAAAGATCAGAGTGACTGAAGATCAGCATGGCTGGCTGAGGGCTCTCTTGCAGTTCTCAGATCTGTAACTGTATTCTCACATGGTGGAAAGCCTAAAAACTTATCTTACGGAATAATCGTGAGTATATGCAAAGATTACACCAGAAAAATATTCATCTCAGCCTAGGTTATATGGGAAAGATAGAAAACAACTTGCCCAATGCAGAAATAATTAAGTAAGTTATGACATACTCATATAATGTAAAACTCTGCAGCCATTAACACTTACATTGTGTTTCTTGGTAGACAGCAACAGTGGTGGCACTTTTTTTGAAATGCCCTACTAGTCCTATAAAAACTAAAAATCTAAGATAGCAAATCAAAAAACCTATGAACAACATTTACAAAAGACTAGCTATCATAGTACTCTTAAGAAACCCCAAATACAAGCTATAGACCTGCAAGATATCAACATCTGCAGAGGAGGAAGCAATAGGGGATCTGACTGACCTAAAAACCCCAAAGCAGTAAAACCTGTACTGAATGGAAATCTAGGACAGCGAATCTGAGAAAGGCGGCTGGGTCTGCAATAAGATATGAAGAGCTGGAGTAGTCTGAACCCTAGAACTCTCAAAAGTAACCAAGCAAAGCTCCACATTAAAAAGAAACAACTGGGAACAGAATCCCAATTGAGCGGCACAGTAGAGAAAAAGAATAAAGAAGGTTCCGATACGGCGGAAGGGAAACAGAGCCAGGGGAAAGAAAAAAAACTTTCACTTCATAGACTCATCAGAAGAGGGAACTCTAGAGCCAAGAATTTAGATATACTACCTTAAACCACTCCTTATTTTGAAGTTCAGGACAACTAACTTCACGTACAAGTAAAAAGGAGCAATACATAAGGAATGAATCTAAATCTCACACAAAGTTATTATAAGAAAAAAAGGAAGTACAGAACAGATTAGAAGATCACCAGGAAGATTTACCTACAAAACTGATGAGAACTATACCCCAGTTTATCAAAACAAGCCAAAAGACCAAAATAGGTCAAAATTAGAAAACCTCAGAAATGAGATGATAATTAGAAAATTTTAAAAATCACTTCAGAAATGAAGACTGAACTAGAAAAAATACAAAAGGAGGTAAACATACAAGTATACTGCAATAAAAATAAAAGGTGAAAAGAAAGTTTTAAAAATCAAAAGGAAATACAGATAAAACAAATAGGAAAAAAAGGCAAAAATCCAACATGATTGTTACAGAAGTTCCCAAAAAAGAGAATCAAAGCAAGAGACTAGAATAAATATTAAGAACTAGAAATAAAGAAAACTTCCTGGAAAGTTTACAAAAATTGTTTTAGAAATAACATTATTGAAAGGGTATACTGAATACTTGAAATAATTGACCCAGAATGATCAACACTAAGACATTCTAGTAAAATTACTAGATGTTAAAAAAAAAAAAAAAAAAAAGTAATACTACTACTTTGGACATCCAGGCAAAAAGATCAAGTCACATATAAAGTGAATAAAAACCCAAACCAGACTGTGAGTCATCAGGCTTTTATTACAGTAATGCTTTATGCCAGAGGTAAATGGAGTAATATATTCAAGAAACTCAAAGAAACAAAATATGTACTAAGGATTTTATATCCAGCCAAAATGATTTTCAAGTATAATATCCACAACTGTTTTTAATATTCAGGAATTCAGGAAACGTTGTTCCCCACGGCCCTTCCTGAAGAATTTACTAGAGAATGAGTTTTAGATACCCAGAATGACTAGAGAGAGAGAGAGAGAGTGTAGCGGAAACATAGAGACAAGGCAGCCATTTTTCCACTAAAAGAGCATAAACCTGAAACTAAAGACTGTAATGTGGATGATATGGTTGAGCCGCTGGACCAGCCCTAATCCGCCTACTTCTGGAATTTGTGTTATGTTAAAAAAAAGTCCTATTTTTTTAAATTAGAAGAGTAATATTTGGTGATATGAAAATCTGTTTGTGGTATGTTAAATGAAAAGAGCACCTTATAAAACAACATGATCTCATTTTCTACGGAGAATAAATGTATAAGTATAAATACCAAAATATCAATAGCAATTTTCTCTGCATGGTAGGATTATGGTGATTCAATTTTTTCTGGGTACTTTTCTTTATTTTCCTCATCAGTCCTGATACAGAAATGAAACCATGCCATGATAATGTTTTTCTGGTACTGAGGTCCAAATTGGATTTGAAAAAATGGAATTTCATGCTGTAGCAAATTGTGTTGTTATAACTCTAACATATTGAGCAAAATCACCAAAATTAGAACGGCAATTAAAAAGAAAATTGCACCTTTTACTTTTGCAACATTTTCACATTTAGGAATGTGTGACTATGAATTTGTCCTCTCTGGACAGTTCAGTATTAAGATCATTTGGTTTGAAAAAAAAACAAAAGAAAAGAAAAACATTACTCCATTAATCTCAATTGTTTCTGAATCCATCTACATTTTAGACTATTGAACAAAAATGTGAATCAAAGTATCTATAAAAATTGTAAAGAAGTACTTTTTTTAGTTTTAAAAATTATAAACTATGTTTTCAATTATAACTAAAGTAATATGTAGAAAACATACCAATGAGCCAAAACCTAGGGTCCAAAAGTGCTCGTTTCGGACTTCCAAAACCCCATCCAAGGTAGATACCTGATCAAAAACACAAAAATAGGGCTGCTTTTACTTGACACATGCAACACTGTGTATGGACTTGCTCTTGGCCTACAAATGACATGGCCAAACCCTGCGTGAGGACATTCATTAGCCAAGAGAAGTCCCAGACCAATCACCCAACATACCATTCTGCTTGTTCAGTAGAGCGAAGGCCTTATTCCCCCAGTTCTTGTGTGCAGCAATCCTTTTAGAGTCAGGTCTTTGCACCCGTCCATTCCACCTCGTTCAACAGTGTGCAGTTCTTTTCATTTTACCGTTACGGCATATATTTATATCCCGCACTTGTGCTCTTTTTTTTTTTCCTTCTCTATCATTTCTTTCTCTGAATTCTCTTTTAACAAATTTCTGCACAACACTGCATGTTACTTGGATGTGGGCCAAAAAAAAATTCCAAGGTGTATAGTGTGTCACTGGTGCAGTGGCACAGGCTCTACTACTGAGACAAGCAGCGAGCTATACTGGTAAAAGTGGCCTTTGTGATACCAACAACCGATAGTTTAGAATACTCTCAACATCCAAATGATTCAGTTTTCTTACTCCTTCATTAGTTAACAGGTAGAAATTTATAACAATACAAAACCTAAACCCACACAATGTTAGGTGGTGAAGCAATGAACAGGGAAAAATGGGCTTTAACATAATCAAATCCCTAGGTTTGAATATGAAAACCTAAAAATGACAGCATTTATATAGAGAGTAGGTAGATCTTTAGACCATTACCTTACACATTTAGTGCAAGTGAATTTTGCTTCCAGACTGAACAATTCCTCAATTTTTCTGCTTTTGTCACTGTTATGTTTCCTAATAAGTTAAGAACACAAATTCCCTTAAAATCTAGATAGGGCTGAATAAAGTATTATTGGTACCTACTCTTTGCATCTCTATATTATAAATCTAAATGGTTTTATGTATTATTCCATCTTACCTCTCTGATAAGTTTGTCCAACTGACCTATAACATGGGGTGGTGTTGTCTGGGGAAAAAGAAAAAATATGTATCAAGGGAGATCAAAAATTTTTGCAACAATGGTCCAGAAATTAACGATATTGCGTCTTATACTAACCTTTGTTTGACATGTGCCTTATCAAGATTGAGGGAAGAGAGGTTTCAACTGGCCCCAGCAGTGGGGCAACATCAAGAAGCAGCTCATGGTCTTTTTAGCTCACAAAGAAGCTGCTATCTCTAGGATCAAGTACGGTTTACTTAAAGAATCAACCAATTAACCAAAAACCTTTAAGAAGGCAACATTTTGTATAGAATACAGCACTATACAACTACTATCTTATTGTTATTCCTGGTCCTAAAGACGGAGATACTACTCATAAGTTTAAGAAAAGCCATGAGATAAAGACAGAAGGAAAAGTGGTGCTTAAATACACATCCAGTCCTGGGAAGCTACCTCTCCATTCAGCTCCTTGCATATAGGTGTTCCCATTGTTTCAAGAGGCAATGATTCACCATTTTAATTTTAAGCTTGAAATTTAAAATCCTCACTGATTCAACCACAGGAAAAAAGAAATTATAAAGAGATTATACAATAGCCTGATTATAAAATAAATTTATACAAATTAATAAAGGAAAATAAATACCTAAAAAATCTTTAAGTTAACAGTGTTTTCACTTGAAACATTACTAGAGGTTATTTTTAAGATTTTTTAATTTTGTTTTATATTACAAATATAGGGAGATTAGTACCTATTTTATGGGCCAATGTAATTTCTTCTAGCTCTTAGTATAAAAATTTCAGAGATTATTATTTGACTTCATTTCCATTAGGGCCCTCCATTAGTTAAAAATTTCACAATTTAGCAAAAAAACACAAAATTTTATAATCTGGTTGAAGAACATGGCTAATATTAACATGCACATTGAAAGACCCTTACCTGAAGTAATACTTTTCCACTGTACACGCTCATGGGATACATGGTGCCAAACGTCATCAGGGCAATTGCTATGGCAGAGGCAGTGTCTACAGCAAAATAATTACTAAAAGGAAAAAAACAATTCTAACTCTTAAATGTATGCCTCACTAGGCTTTTTACCATTGACTATACCAAACATTAATTACCTATAGCAAAAAGCTATTTTATCACACATGGTCACTAATGGCAACGGGAGCATCTTGAAGGAAAACAGTTTTCCGAATCCTTTCTCTTCAGAGTTTAGTAGGAAAAAAACCTAATAATTATGTTAATTAATTAGTGTCATAAGAGACGATGAAGAAAAAAATGAGCATTTCCCCACTATTTTCAATCTACTTGTTAACTAGAAAGATTTCATATATGTTCATCTGTTGCAACAAATAACACCCTTCAAATAGAAATCTCTGATATAGTCACTAAGAGATTTCATCAGTGATTGTACCAATTTTTCTGTAAACAATAACTTTCAAATATTTACTATTAAAATTTTTCAAAACTTCCCAGGAATTTTTCAGGGTATTTATCACAGCTACATTATGACTGAAGTGCAACATCTCAACAACAGTACAGACTGCTCTGTTGAAACAGACCAAAATGTCAACGGTTGCAAGCACACTTTTTACCTTTTTCCCACATGCTGGGAATTGAAATATGAGTAAGACATAGCTCCTGCCTTTGACACAGCAGGAGATACACATGTGGAAAAGATAATAAAGCCCTTTGCATGCCAAGGATAAGTCCCTACAGGGAATCATGGATGCATAAAGCAGAGAGTGTTGAGACTTACTGGGGTAGAGACAGCCCAGAAAGGCTAAATATAAAGAAGTGACATTTGAGCTGAGCCACTGAAGAGCAAGAAGATGGAAGGAAGATACTGCAGGCAGTGAAAGCAGCATGAGCAAGGCCCTGGCCAGGTAGCTCAGTTGGTTAGAGCATAATCCTGATACACCAAGGTTGCAGGTACACTATCTGGTCAGGACACATACAAGAACCAACCAATGAGAGCATATATAAGTGGAACAACAAATTGATGTTTCTCTCTCTCCCTTCCTCTCTCTCAAAAATTAATAAAGATTTTTTAAAAATAAAAGAAAACAAAAACGCTTAAGTCAGAGCCCCACCCACCTAACAGCTAAGTGCCTGGATTCTTCCCGGAACCTCCCTGAGACCACCTGGAAGGCCACAGCAGGTGACCCCCCCCACCCCACACAGGTGGGCAGGGTGGCCTCTGTCTACCTACACACTCAGGTGTTCTCCCTGCAGTGGTTTTGTTTTCTAAACATTTTGCCTGTTTTCTGATTAAAAAAAAAAAAAAGAAAGAAAACAGCATGCACAAGAGTATAAAAATCTTGATGCAGGAACAAAAGTAAAAACAGTTCAGAGAGGCGTGTGCAGGAAGGAGCGGGTAGGGAAGGATCAGCAGGGAGACCTCGAGGCAAGGATCACATGCCCGCTCCCGCCCCGCCCCCAACCCCGCTCTGGCCCCCAGAGCCCACCCGGTCCACCCGTGATTAAAGTGATCCTCATCTTCAACAACGATGGGAAGCCGCGGCTGTCCAAGTTCTACCAGCCTTACATTAATTGGAGGATCTGACAACAAACTGATTTATAGACATTATGCAACATTGTATTTTGTCTTCTGTGTGGATTCTTTAGAAAGTGAACTTGGCATTTTAGATCTAATTCAAGTATTTGTGGAAACATTAGACAAATATTTTGAAAATGTCTGTGAACTGGATTTAATTTTCCATGTAGACAAGGTTCACAATATTCTTGCAGAAATGGTGATGGGGGGAATAGTACTGGAGACCAACATGAATGAGATTGTTACACAAATTGATGCACAAAATAAACTGGAGAAATCTGAGGCTGGCTTAGCGGGAGCTCCGGCCCGTGCTGTATCAGTTGTAAAGAATATGAATCTTCCTGAGATCCCAAGAAATATTAACATTGGTGACATCAGTATAAAAGTGCCAAACCTGCCCTCTTTTAAATAAAAAAAAAATTTAAAGGCCATTCCCAGGTAAAATGCAGGGGGAAAAGTCATCTAAGTTTACCATGCAGTTGTTTACCAAAAAATGGAGGAGAGTCTTAACTTTTGCTCTTGGATTTAAGTCAAGGTACTGTATAGAAGTTGTGTAAAATCAATATGGCAGTTCAATGTTGTTTTTCTTCTTGCTCAGTGATTTTGAAGAAATTGAGTAGTTCCAGTATGATTTTTTTTTTTCTTTTCTAAACTGCATTCCTGTGCCCACATAAGGCATGCCTCTATGTATTGACTACAGCAGTATTTCAAAAAGTGTTTGGAACATTTCTTTAAATTATGTACAACCCAAAACGTTGGTGTTTTGTATAAGTCACAAGTGCAACATTCCTTAATTCTTTCTGTTATTTGTCACAATTGTTATTTAAAGAACCAATTATGTATTGCAGGAAAACATTATGACCTTTCCTATTAGTTTAAATAAACTCCAAGATAATTGGACTTCTAAAGCAAAGAAAAAAAAAAAACCAACACACAAAAAAAAAACCAGTTCAGAGAGATGGACGGCTGGTAAGGTTAATAGGGGCTTTATCATACAAATGACTTCTAATTTTTTTAAAAATTCAAAGGGAGGATTTTGAAACAGGAAAATATTATGTTTGGACTTGCAATTTTGAATGATCACATTTGTAGGAAAATAGAGGGTAAGCAGAGAGGTGTGTGAGAATGAAAAAGAAAAAGACCCAAGACTATTCTAATTAGGCCAAGGAAATGATGATAAAGGTCTCAATTTGGGAAGTAGCAATGAGAATGAGGGGACAGATAATAAATATTTTTAAAACACCCTAAACAATACTATATATGATAAGATTATTTATAATAGCCAAGACATGGAAACAGGAATATTCAGCCATTTAGGGGGAAAAAAAAAAAAAGGAAACCCTGCCATTTGTAACAATGGGGATGGACCCTGAGGGCATCATACTAAGTAATGTAAGTCAGAGAAAGATAAACACTGTATGAGCTCATTACTATCTGGAATCTAAAAAAGTCAAACTCATAAGAAACAGAGAACAGACCGGTGGCGGCCTGAAGCAGGAGTGTGGGGCGGGGGAAACGGGAAAGGTGATGAAAGGGAGAGAGGAAAATAGGCTCCACTGAAGTGGACATGAATAGAAGTCATTAAGATATGTCTTTTGAATTCGGTATAGATCCAGGCTAGAAATAAAGGTTTTGGATATATACAGAAGTAGTAAATAAAAAGGAATAATTGTATGTGATCTCTTAGGAGAGTAAATGAAACAGCAAAAAGAATAATTTAAGCACAGATTTCAATTAACACTAATATTTAAAGGGCAGGCAGTCAAAGAATTATATGTCATAAAATGTTAAGCTTAGAGCAGCTGTAAAGTCTATTTCCTAAAAGGCTTGCTATTTTGAATTGCTTCACACCTACTTCCTCTTCTCTTCCCTCTCTCAGGTATAGCAAGCTGTTGCTTATTTCTCTTTTACTGTCCTCTTCCGTTTCACTCATCAGGTCAGCATATGGGAATTAATTTGACATTATAGATTGTAGTGAAAAATACTTATTGAATACAACCCCCTTTCTTTTTTCAGATGAAGACACTTGAAGACAAGACATGACCAAAGTTACGCAGGTCATAAGCAAACATGCTATAAGCTTAACCCTCATCCATCCCGCTGATGCCCTTAATGGGCAGGCCCCAGGAATAGAAACACTTGACAGAGACAAAAAAATACTTACTTAATTTCAATTAGCATATATGTAATACAGAGAGCAAATGCTCCAGCAAGATCAATCAGGACAAATGGATTCATTCGGGGAAGGAAGATACTGCTCAGTCCTGGAATAATTCCACACACACTATGAGTAAAACAAACAAAAATAGTATTTGTCAGCAGAACTCATGTGATACTGATGAAAATCTTGTAAAGGGTGACTTGTATTTTAGTATTATATAACTTTTAAAGAAAACAAAGAGGATTTGGCAACAAAGTTCTAAAGGTCTTTTTTGTATCATGAATTAAAAAGAAAAAGGAGAGGAAGAATAAGAATCTGATTTGTGAGATTCATGTTTTAACCTCAGCAATAAATTGTGTAAGTTCCCATGACACATGCATCTCTTGTGAATTCCTTTAAAATCACGTATAAAATCACGAAATCCCGTAACATCTTACCTTCGACTAAGATCTGCTACATGTTCTTGAAGCCAACTCGTACTAGCAGCTTTAAGAAGAAAAGACTTAAATTATCTATTTCGGAGAAAAAAATCACTACCAGAAATACTTGATTTCTTTAATTTTCAAAAAAGTTTGGCAACAATCCACATAACATTACAAAAGGACGTTACCCCTCAAATATAGAACTTTTTCATTTTTTATGCCTTTTAGATATTAAAGCAAAACGTTTCAACAATATATAGTTGACCTGAAGTAATTAGTGAACTTATACTTATCATTTTTACTATTCACTTGAAGTTTTAAAGGCTCTTTTACTGTAAAGCAGAGCTCCCTAACCAGTGTGCTGAGAATGGTTACGTACAACAATTATCAATTCCTTCAGCTCTCAGAAAGGCCAGGTGGGACCTGGCTACATCCAAAGACCCCTACTAGTTAACTGGCCCTGGACAAGTAGCCTCCAGGCTCAAGTGTCCTTTTATATTTATCCTAGAGTGCTGGGAATATTCATTTTTTTAATGTGTACTTTGATTAAAAAAAAAAATCTACAAGACTTACACAGAAGCCAGGAGAGTAGAACAGCTAAGAGTAGCCTCAGGTGCCAGAATACCTGACTTCAGATTCCATCTCTGCCCTTAACTGGGTGTGGCCTGGAGCAACTGACTTAATGTGTCAGTGCTTCAGTGTAAAATGGGGATAATAAAATCATTTTCCTCATATGGTTATAGGGAGAATTAAATGGGTGAGTCTATGTAAAGCATTTAGCACAATGCCTGGCAGATACTATTCTGCACTCAAATTTCAGCTAATGTCACAAATCTTACGTTTCTGGGAACTTTCATTTCCAACTAATGAAATACAAACTAAATAACCTTTCTGGAACTAAATTTTGCAGAATATATCAAAGCCTTTAAAAATCTTGTATTTTCAAACCATATCTAATTTCTCCTCTGGGAAATTATCCTAAAGGAGAATCATAAATCCATACAAGAAATTTAACACAAAGAAGCTGATAGAGGATTACCTGCAAAAAAGCTGGAAGTGTATAAGAATAAACTAATGTTTAAAAATATTCATATGACAAAATATTATGAAAGCACTTTTTTCTTTTTAACAGGAGAAAAATGAAAGTTTAATACATGTGCACGGGGAATTCACACAGATTCAGTAAATCCATGGAAATTCTAAACATAGCAATGCAACACTGGGTATATAAAACATTTTTGGACAAAGTAGAAAGGGGGAAAATGGGGTATTACATTTCAGAAGTGAGAATGGGCACTCTACAGGTAGTTGAGGAAGAGCAGAACATACCTGCTAGGTAAATCCTTGCTAGGCAACTTTGAAACAATGAGACACAGAGGGTATTTAGCTACAAAACTTCTGGCCTGAGTCCTTCTTATTTACCCTACTCAATTCAAATTAGACTAAAGTGACATCCTAAACTCTCCTTCTGAAAGTAGGTTTCTCAGTCTGAATCTTTAAGGCAGGAAAGGGGTAGGGGTCAAAGGTTCTTTCTGAGTCTTTTTGTTTCTTAAATAGGTTAAATCAATGTCCCAAAAAGCAGGGAAGCATTTTTTTTGAAGAGTATTTAATGAGGTAATCCTACAGATACTGTTAACGGGAGGAAATGACATCAAGTTGTAAATCTACAGAATATTAAGTATGCAAACCTATGCATATGCGCATAAAAAAAATAAAAGGGTAAAATAGGTTATCACATGTTATTTCAGGGGCATGATAGTATCAGTGTTCTTTTTCTTCTTTTATCTTTCTGATCTTTACAGAGAGATATTGTTTCTAAATCTCTGCATCTTAAAAATTTCTGGCGTGAGAATTATACTATTTTAATAACACAAATTTTTTCAAAATAATTCTGGTCATCACAGTGTCATTTAAATTTTCGAGTTCATGCAGTCAATTCTTAACTCTCACCCATACAAATATAACTCCTATTTCACAACACTCATGAAGTTGTTTAAACTTGAATGGGCATTTCGAAGAGTTTTCTTCTCTTGACTGCCCTGGTGTTCAAGTCTGTGAGACCTAAAAAGAGCCTTTACTATCTCTGCTTCAAAATGTAGGCCTGTGCCCACAACCCACTTTTGTTTCTACCTCACTTCTTCATCAATCAGTGGTTAACCCTTTGTGGGTTAGACCTCTGCAGTAAAAAAATCAGTCTGTATTTTTAAAGACTTGAAAATAAAAGAATACTTCAAAAGAAAAAAGTTTCACTACTTTCAAATACATGCCCACCCACCATAGCCAAATAGAAGTACCTGGGAACTTATTTAACAGAATTCAATTATTTTCAACGAACACATCAACTATTCTAACTATCCTGATGCTTCTAAAATGCTTGCAATAGCCTTTTTGAAGGTAGGTTATCCATCTAAAATCTCATCTGTGATATTTGGTAAATGTAATTTTTCATCTGATTTAATTTGTCAGTCTTACCTGTTTTTAACTAATAAAGCTTGAACTAATTAGATTTTGTTTTTTACCTGTCTCCTCAAAGACTCTGAAAGCCTTTGGAGTAGTTCTCTTTTCTCTTTGAAGTATATTTTCTCATTAATTTATAAGTTAATGAAATAAACAAAAGACTTGTTTTTATGAGAGATTAATTAAATTTTTTATTAATGACAAAATACATACCTTCAGAGACATAAGCAAAAGGTTTATTCCGAATAGAAAGCATTGTGAACAGGTTGAAAGAAAGAGCCACAAAAGTACCGACTAATAATCTTCCCCTACAAAAGAACAACAGTAACATTCAGCATTTTTTTTTCTTGACATTATCAACATGTGATTTCAGCGTGCAGAGAGACCAAGAAAGAGAAGGGAAGGCAGAGTGGTCTGCTTCTATGATTTGGCATCAGCAGAGCCAGAATCTGAACTTAGTGTCTAGCCCTGTAACCCATGTCCTGTCTTCTGTTGCTCCACCTTCCACAGGACAAAAAAAGACTCTTAGCCTTAACATTACCTTTCTCCAGGTAACTGCTGTTATAAATTTGTATAAATGCTAATGGTATTTGGTTTATAGTACACTGGACAGGTCAGAATGTCCTGAGTTAAACAGACCAAATTAGGTGAAGTCCATCCAGTTGGCAACTATATGGAAGATAATAACAATCCCATCTTTTCTGCAGGTGCTACTAAAAGATTTTAAGAATCAAATTCTAAATTATAGAAGAGCAAATGGGGCTGGCTCAGTGTGTTGACCTGGGCCTGGAAACGAGGGACCTGAAGCCAGGGCAGAGAAGCCTTCACCTGCAGCGTAAGGGAACATACCAGGATGAAGAGGAGTCTTGGGATTTGGAGATTTTGTTTGTGAAATATCGCTGAAATGCATACTGCCGCAACTCTGATGTTGGCCAAAGTAGTAGGTATTTAATAACACACCACTTAAGTCTTGGAACTAAACTTAACAGTGATTAGATGCTATGTCAAAAGCGAAAATCTTACGTGTGTATCTCGGGCTGCTCCAAAAAGCGTTCTGCACTAAACGAAAGAAATATGTATTAAATAAGTCCTATAAGTTATAAAATTAAAAAGTTTTATTAAACATATAGTTAATTTAAAAAATTCACAAAATCTTTAATATCACCAGCTGTTGGTTATCAGCAGTGATAAGGTAAGGAAACTCACAGATTATCCTTGATGTTAATGTTAATCTTTCTCTACCAAACTCGTTTCAATGGGTTTGTAGTACTGAGCATTACAGCATATCTCACTAAATCCCTTTCACTCATACCTACCTATAATTGGATTTAGTAGCTTCAAAGAAGGTAATAAAATGGGATGAAAAAAAGGGAGAAAAGTCTGAAATATGAAGAAGTTGTACTATCAAAACTCCAGCACTGCTCTTAAGTTGTGTACCCTACAAACCAAATTCTCTCACTGAATTCTTTCTGTTCCCAAAGGTGGTACTGGTGGAATTTAGAATGACAGTAACATCATATACAAATGTACCTTGCTTTTAATATAAAGAGAGCTCCCAACTGTGCCAACACTGTGGAGGCAAATACAGCCAGGACTTCTAATCTTTCGAATCTGAAAACAGAAAGTTCACTAGATCAGCATAATTCTTTCAATCCACAAACCAATACTTATAGAACACAGTTAGATTCACTTATTCACTCACTCAATATACACATGTGCTTACTATAAGCCAAACATTGTTAGAACAGAATATGGAGTTTCTAGAATGAACATCACAGATTAAAAAGAATGTTTTTTTATGCAACATATATTCCCAGGGACCCACATATGGCTCTTATTTTTCTAATAGTAATTATTATCTAATTAACAGATAACATTTCATTGACTCAAATTGTGTTAGATACTGGCAAAAGGGCTTAACATATTACTTCATTTAAATCTCCCAACACCTTATGAGGGTTACTTTGTCCACTTAAAAAGAGAGAGATAACAAACTTAAAACACAAAGAGAAAAATTAACTTTAGAGCCAGACATCTAGCAAAAAAAAAAGAAAAAAAAGATGGGGTAAAGAACATTTGAGGCAGAGAGAAGAGCTTGTACAAAGGCCTTAATCCAGGAATGAGATGTGTTCGAATTACACAAAGACAGTGTGGTACTGAAGGCATGTGAGTGATTAAGGAGGCACGGTCCAGCTCATATATTTGTAAATTAGGGAAAGGGGTCAGGGCTTTATTCTAAGTATGATGGGAAACAACCGGATGGTTTTGAGGAGGACGGTGATGGCATGATTTAGGTTTAGAAAGGAAAACCTCTAATTTATGGAGAAATGGACTATAGGGTAAGAGGAGAAGCATGGGGGCCAGTTAGGATGATGACTATTGGTTAAGGCAAGAACTGATTAGGATGATACTATTGCAGATAGAAATGGGGGCCGAGCAGACTCTGGATGTGTTTTAGTTTACCTCTGACATAACCTGCTGATGAACAGAGGAGGATAGTGAGAGAATAATCCAAGGATAATGTCTAGAATTTTCTGCTTTAGCAACTGAGTGTTGGTGTATTTCCTAAGATGGAAAAACTGAAGAGAAACAGGTTTTCGGGGTAGAAAACAAGAATTCTGGCTTGAGCCCAAGATGCTAATTAGACATCTCCGTGAAGCTGTCAAGAAGGTAGTCTAAAATGAAAACAGGTCTCAGAGCTGAAAAACTAGATTTTGGAAATACTAAATATAGATATTTCAAGCTATGTGACTGATTACAATTACATTTGAATGCTTAATTTTATTGTTTAATTGCTCCCTCCTTTACCATTCACTGTAAGCAAGAGGGCCAAAATGGAAGCTGTCATGTCCTTGCTTGACCTTGTCTCCTGGCCACAGTAACTGATTCAAAGACTAGCACCTGCTACAACCTGGACAGATCAACTGTTCTTTCTCATGTTTTTCTGAACCACAGCTAAGGAAGTCTTTTCCTTTCTCGGATGAAGGTAAAAAGGTATGAGTTAAGGTCTGGCTGGGAGTTATCATTTCAGGAGAGTGGAAGAAAGTGCGCTGAGAAACCGAGCATGAAATGCAGAGAAAAGCGGGCCTGAGAAGTAAGAGAAAGACAATGTCCTGAGGATTCTAGACACTATTCCAGTTAGCTCAGTCTTCCCTCATTGTGGTTACTCAACTACCACAGTCCCCACTTTTTTCCCCAAACTAGTTCTGAGTTGGATTTGTCACTTAAAAACTGGAAGCCTTGACACAGAGTCACAGATTCTCACATACAGAGATCTGTACCTGACAACTGATTGTCACAGTAACAGTCCAACACTATCAAATTTCAGCGACACTTACATCTTCATTTTGCATTAACATCTAATGTTTACCTTGTCCCACAGTTTAAGTTAAAAAAAAAATCCAAAAAACAAACAAAGGATTCTCCTAAATTTTGTTCAAGAAACATAATCCCAATGAATGGCATGGTGCAGAAGAAGGGTACGTTTAGTCCAGGAGTTTCTTCAGCAATGTAAAATTCTTTCAAGTTGTTTCCTTGAAGCTGAAAGGAACTCACAGTTTTCTAGTACATGTCTTTAAATACCTCTAATACAAAAGACTATCTTTCAACTCTCAGTATTTTCTAAAACTACAGAAACATAAATCTCAAATTCCTTGTTAGTCCATTGCTATAAAAAATCCAGTCTTAAAGTAAAAGTCCATCTCTACCACTGCATTTATGTTAAGATATATCAATTTACTTTAACATCTAGAAGATACACTTACATGAAAATTCTCTGTATTTTCTATAAAATGAGATTCCCAAAACACGAAAGAACTTAATTTGAAATTATTATGTTAATGTTTGTTTTATAAAATAGAAAATAACATAATGTGGACATTTTATTTTAGTATGACAAATGTAAATATTCATGTTTCTTATCTAAATCCACTTGGAAGTTCCTTTTCTATTTACTTTCACTATTTGATTATCCCACTAATCAGGCATTTGTTTTCTAGAACTACTCTGGCCAGCTCTTTATTGCCTTATATAATTATTACTTTCATTGCAATAAGTAAGCAGAAAATAAACTAATTTGAACTTACCCAAATGAATAGACAGGGCTAGGTTTCCTCATCATTACCCAGTAACTTATTAAACACGTCATTAAACTAAGCAAAAAGGAAAATAAATTTAGCATTAGATCTACAGCTAGAAGAAAACACGGAGGAAGAAATTAAGTTTTCAGAATTCCTAAGATGCTGAAAGTTATCAGTATTTATTCAGAATAAATTAACAATAACTTACGTAATAATTTATAATCTATTTACAATGAGCATCCTAATATGTGACAGTTTCAACATGTGTAGAAGCTGAAAAAGGTTGTGATATATCATCAGGTTGGTTAAACAGGACCTAAACACATACTTTCTCTGCTCAGTGAGTTATCCACCCTAACTAGTTTCCATAACTGAGCATGCAAAAAATGACAGTAATAATAATGTAATCTATTTCATTCTCGGCACAGACAGTAAAATTTAACTTTCTTAAACTTTATTTAATCTTTGATAAAAGTTAAGTTAAATATTCATACACCTTGACAACATTCGGGATGGGATAAAATTATGTTCATTTTTTAAGTATAGTGGAAATTCATTCTAAAATTACATGTGAAATTCAGGTAATTCAATTCAGATGGTTTTAGGCCAATCAAGTAATTTAATTATGTGATTAATGTAAAGACATCCTTATGAAATACTCATATCATGGATCTTGAAGATATCAAGGTATTTTGCAACATTTACATGGAAATATGAAAAACCCCATGAAGCAAGGAGGCAATAGGTTGTCTCCCTAGTTCACAATTACTCATTTCTTAGCTACTTAGCCCCTCATTTGTTTCTCCATCAACAGTTACAGTGGGAACTGGTATGTTCTTTTTAATTTTTAAAAAATTACTTATTTTAAAGAGAGGGAGGGGAGGGAGAAGCATTGATTTATTGTTCTACTTATGCATGCATTTATTGGTTGATCTGTTTTTTAAAACTGTATTTTTTAAAAAATCCTCACCTGAGGATATGTTTATTGATTTCAGAGAGACAGGAAGGGAGTGGGAAGAGAGAGAAACATCAATCAATTGCCTCTAATATGTGTGACTGGGGATCAAACCCACGACCTTTTGGGTGTACAGAACATTTCAACCAACCCAGCAGGGCCATTGGTTGATTCTTGTATGTGGCCTGACTGAGGATCAAACTCACAGCCTTGGCATTGACATGTTGTTATGTGACCCTGCTCCCTTGCCACAGCTGACTCTCCCACAGGTAGGCCCTTGAAGCATTTGACCTAATGCCTGGATATTATCTGTTCTGTTGCTACGTAAATGGAGTACTTTCTTCCAGTATATATGTTAATTTATTGTTTATATATGTATCCTATATTGGTAATTTTACTTGTTTCACAGATTACTTTCCTTTAAGCCAAACAAGCTTCATAAATTCAGTGCAACAAATTCTTTATTAGCTTTAAAACATTAGGATATTTTTAAAAACTTACCTAAATAGATCAAAAATGGTCAGGTAAGTATAGGCAGTTAAAGCTGCAAAACAGATTGATTAAAATATTACTGAATCCATTCTTAGGAAATATAGCAAATCACCAAAATTGTTCACACCAGTGGTATCCATTACAAAAAAAAAAAAAAAATCACGGGTTAACCTCATATGTTGGCAATTATCCAGTAAATCTGATTAACATACATAGTCAAAGTTGGTTAGTACAAAAGCTTCCTTTAGAACCTGATTTCTCCATTGGAAAAATAACTTGGTGTGTGCTCAAAAGACCTGTTACAATATATCTGAATACTATTTTAAATAGATTTTTTGAATAGCAGGATGAAAATAGTGGTATAGCCCTGACTGGTGTGGCACAGTGGGTTGGGTGTCATCCCATAAACTGAAAGGTCACCGGTTCAATTCCCAGTCAGGGCACATGCCTGGATTGTGGGCCAGGTCATGAAAGAGGCAACAGATTCTCATACACACCAATTTTTCCATAAATAAATAAATAAATAAATAAATAAATAAATAAATAAATATCTTTTTAAAAATAGTGGTTACATAAAAATATAAGAGGTCCAGCCACAATAAAAATATTACATATTTCCCTTTTCAAAAAAATCCAATAAAACTCAAAATTCTACTTATAAACTGTATAAACTGAATTTCTAATATATCATATTAAGGACTCTCAGTTTTTCAAATAGGTTTAAAGTTGTTTTTTTTTAAAATAATAGCTCATTAAAAAAAAAAAAAGCCTAATAATTGAGCCAAACTTTATATATAGTTTCAAGGCACTTTTCAAATAGATTTTTCTCATTTAAATCTTTTGAGTTACATTTCAGAAAAATATATTCTAGGTAAAGGAAGCTGTACCTTTATTAAAAATCAGAGTAATAAAAGTGAAACTAATAACTAACACAATAAAAATAAGAACAGTGACATACCTATACTGTTAGTGGAACTGCACCACATAAGCAGGAGGCCAGTACATGTTAAGTTTATTGCACCAAAGAGCAGTATCTTCCAGGACTGTGAAAATGAAAATCATTCTTATCTGCACAGTGCTGATAAACCTCACCGAATCTGTTTGAGCTGCTTTAATCTATATTTTAATATTCAAAGGAATAAGTATAACGTTCTTCAAAAAGTCAAAGTATCACATTTTCTAAGGTTACCAAAATTATTATCAAACAATGTGTTATTATAATATACAAATGTAAAAGAATAGTTCTGGAAAGGGAATTACTCAAGAGAAAATAAATTCTGACACATGAACACAAATATCACTTTGTCTCCATAAAAAATGTACACAGAGACAATGATAAAGCAAATGGGGCAAAAATGTAAGCAATCGGTGAATCTAAAGTTACCTTTCCCCCTCTCCAAAAGGACGGTACTTGGTTATTTACCAAATAAGCCATATGCAACAGGACCACATAAGAGGGAAAGATTACCATGGCCTAGAAGTTCATAGAACAAAGGGGACCTGAGATACACCTTGAAAACAGCTAGGAATTAGAGGAAGGAGGCAGGGTATTCTAAAAATAAAGGAAGAGATCAAGTGAAGCGTGTATTTTTGTTCCACTCCACTCCCTACAAGGGAGACCTATGACTGTTTGAGAGTAGAGGTGAAAGATATTAGTGAAAAGGCAGTTATTTGAAGGCCTTAAAATTCAACAGATAAAATTGCAAAGGTCAAATGTGATATGGGATAACAACATTTTAGAACACAGATGGAAGGTATAGGTTTAGAAAAGAAGAACAACACCTTTGAGAAAGGTGAGAAGGGTAAGAAAGTGACTGAAGGGACGGAGAAACTATGAGGCAGAATGAAGCGACAGTGAAGCGGCACAGAGCTAACAGCCTCTAAATCTCCAGAACAGCAGCAGCAAGGCCATTTTCTAAAATTAAGGGATATGGTAAAGTAGGACTGGAACCTTAAATCCAGAGAAAATCTGCAGAAGCTGTTATGGTGAGATACTACTGAATCATCAAAGAGGAGTACAAGAATTAGCAGCATGAATTTATGATAGCCACCGTTCCGGAACTTCCTCTACACTCAGGATCAAAACCAGAGAAGCAGGTGAGGTAAGGACAGATATTAGAGACCTGAGAGCTGATATAACAGGTTAATGGGACAAGGGACTCTAATACTAGTGAGGACAGAAATGAAACAAGTGAACATGAGGCCAAGCCAGGACAGGGATTCAAAAACAGTCAGAAAGGGAGGATTAAGCATACAATTTGAAAATGATACTCTCTGCAGCTCTACTGCTAAATCAACAAATATTAGACAACCTGTGTTTTAATACACACTCTTCTAGGCACTGGACATACAGTGGTAAGTAAAACATGAATCTTATAATCCAGGCAGGGTGATTGACAATAAAAGATATATAAGATCAGGTGGTGAGAAGTGCAAGGAAGAAAAAATAAAGTATGGTAAGAACACAGTAATGGGAGATATAGAACAGTTGCTATTCTAGATAGGATGATCACAAAAGACCTCTTTGGTAACACGTGACCAGAAATGTTAAAGAGGCAAAGATTCTAAGCATGCAGGCACGTGGGAGAGAAAATGGAAACCACAGTGCAAATACCCTGACATAGAATAGTACCTGGCTGAGGACAGCTAGCTGAGACAAGTGAGAGAGAGTCTGAAGCTACATCAAGCAGTGTTTTGTAAGCCACGAAAAGAATAGGAATTTATTCCAGATGAGATGGAAAGTGAACTAGCTTTCAATTTTTAAAAGATTATTTTGTTTTCTCTATGTATATAATATACTGCATGGGGCAAGGATGGAAATAGAAGGACCTTCTAGAATGTGATTACAATAATGCATGTGAAAAATGATGGTGGTTTTGTAGGTGGTAAAAAGGTATTAGAGGAGGCAGATTCTGGGTATTATATTGAAGATAGAGCTGGAAAGATTTACTTTAAAAATGGATGTGAGATGTGAGGAAAAGAGAGGGGTAAGAATGACTCCAAGGTTTCTGGCCTGAGCATTTGGAAGAATAGAGTGGCCATTTAGTAAAGAGAGACAGAAAATCAAAATTTAAGTTTGACAATACTAAAGTTGAGAAACCTATTATATATCCAAGTGGAAATGTTGAGAGGATCATTATATACAGGACTCTAGAGGCAACAGAGAAGTTAGGGATTGATATAAAATGGGGGTATCAGCATGTGGCAGTGATAACATCACCTAGGTGTATCAACACCTAGGCTCTTTGTAAACAACAAAGGCTCTAAGCACTGAGAACTCCAAAACTTAAGGAATCAAACAGATGAAAGTGACAAAGAAGACTAAAAGATAATGGCCAAGTTAGTAGGAAGAAAACCAAGAGTAGTGTTTCAGAGTCCAAATGAATGAAGGAAGCACTTTAAGGAGGAAGCGACCAAATTTTGTTAAATGTTGTTGAAAGTCCACTAAGATGGGAAATGGTAATGACTAATGATTTTGGCAACACTGAGGTTAGTACTTTGCGGTAGAAGTTTCTGTGGATTAATGGGGACTAGAGTCAGACTCGTATATATTTAAAAGAGAAAGAGAGAAGGGAAAGTGAACAAAGAGAGTAAAGACAATTCTTTTAAGTAGTTTTGGTATAAAAGGAAGCAAAGAAAAGCATCAGTAGCTGAGAGTAGAATATATAACATGTAATTTAGTGCAAGAAAGAGAAGAATGGTGCAAAAAGGATCAATGATGCAAGAGACAAAGGGAACAATTACAGGAACACTGTCTTTGACAGGCAACAAGTAGAGGGACTGGCTGTATAAAGCAGACCAGGCAGTTCATTCATAGAAACAGGACAGAAGACCATAGGCATGTTAAGGATGTGGGAGTTTTCTTCTGATTACTTTTTTCCCCATACTGAAACACAAGGCTAGAGTGAGGGTGAACAAATTTTTGGAAGTTTTGAGGACAGAAGTGCAAGAAAATTGTATGAAATAGTCATTTAGGAAAATGGGAAACTGAATGAAATAAGAAAATATAGTCTAGGCAGCACAAATGGAATGCTTGATCATAAATTTATTTATTTTTTTAAAAAGAATATATTTATTTATTTGTAGAGAGAGGGGAAGGGAGGGAAAAAGAGAAGGAGAGAAACATCAATTGGTTGCCTCTCATACGACTGAGACTAAACCCACAACCCAGGCATGTATCCTGACCAGGAATTGAACAGGCAACCTTTTCCTTTGCAAGATGATGACCAACCAACTGAGCTACACCAGTCAGGACTTGATCATGATTTTAAAGTAAGACCAGTCAGCATGGTTTTTGTGTTTCTTTCAGGGTACATTAAGTTGCTTGGGTGTACGTCAGTTACAGAGAGTGAAAAGAAAGTGAACTTAAGGATTTTCCAGGGGCATATGATAGGCAGTATGATAGAAGTAAAGCAGAAAAGAACTGAAGTCATATGCAAGCAAATGATAATGATGCACCATAGAATCTAAATTGTGTAAGTAAGCAAATGATGATAAGGGAGGTGAAAAACAGTAAAACTATGGTGGAGTCAATAGGTTGGAGGTTCTAGTAACACTGAAGAAATACTGGAGTTGAGATAATGGAAGGAGTTAACGGGAAAGTCAAGTGATAATGACTAATGAGTGAAGTGCCTGAAACTGAAATAATGGGAAGTTAGATTGCAGTTATTATAAATGATAAGGACCACAGAAGTGAATGGCGGGGAAGGATGAGGGACGAGATTATTTTTGGTGAGGAAGTAAGAAACTGAGAGTTACGAGAATCTTCCACAGGAATAGGAAATCATCAAGAACTAAGACAGAAGTAGTAGTGAAGAGAGATAAGAGAGCTATATCTCTTAAGACTTAACTTATGATCGAGATTATCTATACAACTCAGGATTCCTGTATCAGTTTTGCTCCTACTACTTATTCTGTAGTATACTGGGCTTCAGTAAAGTACACCATTAAAGAATTCACTTCTGCAATAGAGTTACTTCCCACCAACATCATAGAGCTATCTATCTGTTCTCAAGAGATCAGCCTAAATGGACTAGCTACACAAGAAGCAGATGAATTCCTATCCTTGGCTCTTGAAATTTAACATTCAGGGCATGATATTTCCAAATACTACGATTACCGAGTTCTAACTATATTCAAAGGTTTTAGAAGCAGGAGATATAGTGGTAAAGAAGAGAAGTCTCTAAAATAGTATCACAATGCAAGGCCAGTATCATTACTACTACTTACTATATTCTATTGAAGCTGGATTTATTTAAAAACCATCAAATATATATTGGGTGCTTATTTTGTACTTTTATTAAAAAGTGACCAAAAAGGACAGAGTCACTGCCCTTAGGGAGCTTATAGTATAATTAAGGCAAGAATGAGAACAGTGAACAACGAACAATAACTAAAAGGTCAACGTTAATACCAAAAAGGACACCAATTACATTTTTTTATTTATGATCTTAAAGCATATTTTCTCTGCCTACATTAAAAATGAGAAAACAGACCTGGATGGTGTGGCTCAGTGGACTGAGTGCTGGCCTGTGAACCAAAGGGTCGCTGGCCTGGATTGTAGGCCAGGTCCCCAGCAGGGGCTGTGAGAGAAGCAACCACACATTGATGTTTCTCTCCCTCTCTACCGTCCTTTCCCCTCTCTCTAAAAATAAATAAATAAAATCTTTTAAGAAAAAATGAGAAAATATGACTTCAGATTACATCCATTTATTTTTCCAAAAAAATTACTAACATAAGGCAATCACAAAATAATTTTTCTGCAAGGCTCTTAAAAAAAAAAAAAAAAAAAAAGACTCTTTAAAGTTAAAATAAAAACTAACCAAAGCCTACCTTCTTCCCAAGCAAAACAACTGTCGAAGTACTAAAATTGTACATTAAAAAATTATCCCCCATACCCAAAGAGGACCACAGCAAGGCATATCATAATTAAAATGCCAAAGGTTTAAGATAAGGAGAGAATCTTAAAAGCAGCAAGAGAAAAGCAGTTAGTTACCTGCAAAGGAGTTCCCATAAGACTGTCAGCTGATTTCTCAAAAGAATCCTTGCAGGTAAGAAGGAACTGGCAAGAAGTATTCAAAGTGATAAAAAGCAAGGACCTACAGCCTAGATTATTTTACCCAGCAAAGCTATCATTTAGAATGGAAGGGCAGATAAAGTGCTTCTGAGATAAAGTAAAGTTATAGGACTTCATCACGACCAAACCATTATTATATGAAATGTTAAAGGGACTTATTTAAGAAAAAGAAGATCAAAACTATGAACATTAAAATGACAACAAACTTACAACTATCAACAACTGAATCTAAAAAATAAAAACAAAAATGAAATAAGCAAACAACCATAACAGAAAAAGAACCATGGATATGGGGATCATTTGGAAGGTTGTCAGCTGGGAGGGGAAGGGGAAGAAAGGGGAAAACGGTGGAGGGATCAAGAAGCATAACTGGTAGGAACTAAATAGACAGGGGGAGGTTAAGAATAGTATAGGAAAGGGAAAAGCCAAAGAACTTACATGCATGATCCATGGACATGAACTAAGCAGGGCGTGGGGATTGCTGGCGGGAAGGGAGGTACCAGGCGGAGGAGGGCAAAGGGAAAAAAAATTGGGACAACTATAACAGCATAATCAATAAAACACACTTTAAAAAATTATCCAACATAAAACGAAAACAGTGTGGTGGGATTGAGAGTCATTTCTATTTGCCTTAAAAATTACCTTTTTTCCCAACACCACGTTTGTGCAGTAATTAAAATAACGTTAAAGAATAAAAATAACTTACCCTTCGGTCAGCTGCAACAAGTCTAAATTCCTGTAATAACTTGCCAAAAAAAGATCTTTGTGGTTTTCGAAAGAGATGAATTGTCCCCTTTAAAACAAACAAAAATACACAAATCAGTATTAAAGTATCTATTCTTCACAGTTCCTGTAATATAGTAATAACTAACATTTATTAAATGCCCAGTATATGCCAAACACTTATCCTGGACACTTTACATATATTTATCTATTTAATTCTCATAATAATCCTAGAAGATAGAAAGTTTTCCAAGGGCACAATGTTAGTAAATGGCTATGCAGAAATTCAAGCCCAACCATTTTAGCTCCAGACCACACTTTGTTTTTAAATGGATAAGGCAATTCTGAACCAGAAAGGCAAAGTTTGTTAAATAGCCCTACTGGAAAGAAAATATTACAATATACCTGATCAAAGCTTTATATATGAAAGGTCTGATAACTGTTACATAATAAAGCTTCTGAAGTTCTCTTAGGCATTCAAAGTACCTGACTTTGTGGCTCCTGCCAGTACAAGGTATGGAGATGGCAGAGAAAGGGCCTGGCAGCAGGGTTACCAATGAGAGAAGAGAAGGAGTGGTGACTGGAATGGGATTTACTACTCAAGGTCAGGAAACCACGTGGCAAAGCCTTAGCATAAAGAGTTCAAGCACATATGGAAAATCAGCTTACAATTGTGGCAATATTCAACATCAGTGGGATATTCAACATCAGTGGGAGAAAACATGAGTGATTCAGCAAGTAATGTTTGGAAAAAGGTAAAACTGGATCCTTACTATAGTGCTTATTCTAATTTTTTATCATTGTAGAATTAAAATATACTAGAGAGTACTTAAAGAAACTAAGAATGTATAACTTTATAATCTTGGAGTTGGAGAAGTAGTCTTGGACATAAAACCAAGAAGCTACAAAGGAAAAAATGATCAATTTTACTATATACTTTCACATTGGGAAGACAACACCCTAAAACACAAAAACCCTGGAAAGATAAGCTGTGGGGAAAAAATCAAAAGCAAAGTGATTGTCTCTAGAGGAAAAAATCCTTCGTAACTTTTAATGGTCACATAACTTTATTGCTAAGTACCACATATGGGTTTTAGGTTTAACAAAATACCTTCCTAGATGGTAAAGGTCACAATCGCTTTAACAATAGTACTACACTTCTACCTCACTAAAATTGTTCAATTTGACTCAAACACTCAAGTTCCCCAGAAAGCAGTGAACTGGTTATTAGATTAAAAATGTGAAAAACTTAAAAAGATCCAATTCAAGCAGAGGCATAATTTTCCTACAGTTAGCATCTAGGAACATCTCAGTAGTTATAAAAAGGTACATCTTATTTCTTCCAAGCTTAAACATGTCACTGGTTGCAGTGTTGAGACTCAGAAGGCAGAATATAAGGTTGAGTACTAGAAGTCTGGGATTAGAAAAATAACAGAAAGTTGAGCATTGTCGAGGTCAAATAATGGCTATAATGGCTACATGGGGACTCATATTTTCTCTTTTATGTATGTTTGCAATTTTCCATAATAAAAAAGTAATAAAGCAAAAAAACCCCCCACCAACTTTAAAATGTAAAAATTAAGCATCAGAAAAAGTGTTACTTTTTTGGCATCCAAATTACCACCAGGGCGTTTTGTGAAAACCTAAGGCTCTAAGCCAATTCAGTGGAAAAGAAACAACATACTATTTTCCTTTGTGATGGTAATAAATGTTAGTATTAATTAGTACACTCTATTCTTAAAGAACACTGATATTTTGGTTCCAAAGACAATTCTGCTTCCTACTGTTACCACTGGATACCTTTTAACTTCAGCCTACTTTCAATTATTTGTTAAGTTTCAAGTTAAGACAATAAGGGGTTTCTAAAAGGCAGGGGGCCATTCTAACACCAATCTGATATTGAAAATAAAACAAAAATCCTAACATTCATGTTACTCTTTCCAAAATTATATTGACTCTCCATTGCTATTACGATGAACTCAAAATTTTATAATCTCGAAGTCAAAATTTTCAATGATTTAACCTGTTTCTTTTTGGTTTTATCTCTTGCTCTAGGATAGGAATCAACTCCAACTAGACTGGTATACCTGTGTCTGATGAGTATGACTCTCTAGAGTGCAAAGGCCAGACTTTCTACCCCAAGCTCTTAATAGCCTGTAACACTAAGCAAGCTACCTGAGTAATGAATAGTAGATTAACAGTATCAGAGTAGGTCAGGAAGTACTCACTTGCATGTTTCACTTCCTACATGAAGCATTCCTAGGTTATTTCAAACTATAGTGTTTTTCTAAATGCTTACTTTGTAACCTAATCATGGGATACCCTTCATCTCATCATCTTGGAAGTCAATTTTTCAGTAACGCCACTAATGACAAGGGTTATAATTCCTTTACATTTTCTTAGATAGCACTGTGCTTTGCATACATATTCTTAAACAATACGTAATAGGGAACTCATAAAATCTTTCTTCCCAAAAATTTAAAAAATAAACCTGAAATGCGCCCATTTCCCTATATTGCTGTATCAAGCATAAAAATTTAGTGTCATAGTTATTTACTCAGTGTTTTATAAAACAAATATTTATTGAAAACTTCCTCTGGACCAGGCTCTGTACAAGGCTCTGGGAATAACAGTGAAAACATAGGTCCTGCTCTCAAAGAGCTTACAGTCTAGGAAGTGAGAAAGTACAATAAATACCCAATTTTAACATAGTCTGGTTAAGGGTTATAGATATGACTGGTATAAAGCCCCAAGTTATCCTGGAAACATAAAGGAGGCACCTAACATGATCTTGACACATGGCAGAAAGGCTCATGAAAGAGAAGAAAGAACACGTAAGGGTTATACTGATAAGGAGATGGAGAACGACTTTGGCAGATAAAATAGCATGTACAAATTAGGTGCAAAGGCCTAATTGCTGAAGCAGATCTGCTAGCTACTCACTCTGCCTGGAATATGAATGTATGAATGTGTAGAAAGAGGCTGTAAAGATAAGTTTCACTACAGATGGCTTTGTAGACCATGCTAAACAGGACTTTATCCTGAGGACTACAGAAAAAAACTGAACTTTAAGCATGGGAGTGGCAGAGTCAAGTTTTATAAATTTAACTCTGGCTGCACAATAGTGAATGTTTTGAAGAAGAGCGTAACCAGAGGCCAAAAGGTAACCTTTACCCACTTTCTGTGCATAAGGACGGATTACAGAAAATTTACAAAAGATAGAGCATGTGAATAACATTTTTCCAACCATATACGTTCAAGGAAAAAATTTTAAGAGTGACAATGACTTAGGCACAGAAATGTGGTCCTTTCCCCACATACAGGTTACCTACATCCATTATTATTATTACTTTTTTAATAAAATGATCTGTACTTTTTTGACACTGAAATCACAACCAACTGCTTATTTTAGATAAAATCCAGAGAACTATATCCTTGATTTCTACAAGCATAAAATGACAAATCCCTAACAAAATTTAGGTTTCATACCACATCACCCAGGTCGTAAGGTACAGCGGGACTCTACAATCACAAAATAAAGCAGCCATAAGATGCTCTACCAACACCTTGACTTTCTCCAGTCACTGGCTTTCTGAAAGTTGCTGGCTAATCAGGCTATCTGGCACTCAATGAAGAAGTCAAGTTGCAGAGTGTGTGTCCGCCTCAATACCCTACTCGTAAACCCTCTTTATTAACGGCAGCGTTAGCGTCGCTGCTATAAACATTACTATTACGGTCGTTGCTGCTGTGCACTTGTTTTCAGATGTTGCTGTAGCCGCTGATGCCGGCAAAGGCTTAATGTCTATAGGAAGGAATCTCGGCCGGGGGAAGCCATCAACTCGCCTGAGCTAAAAGCTCGGCCAGGAGCGGGCCCGGGATCACGGCCGGCAAAGGAACAAGATGAGGATCAGAGCTCTGGGGGAGATCTTTCGGTTTCCAGCCGCTTCTCCCGCGGGGACCCGAGCACCACTCCGACGACCCCTCCTCTGGACAGCTCAGGCATTTCAAGGCCGCTTCCGGACAAGAGAGTACGAGACATTACCTACCACAGAAACCCTCAAGCCCCGGCCAACTCACCATGATAAGGAGAAGCACATCTCCCGCCGGAAAACGCTGGGGGAGCTGGCGTTTCCCTAGAGCGGAAGGGGTGGAGGATCAGAGGCCGATTGGTTGCTAGCGACACGCGAGCGGAAGTGCTTACCCTGGCCGCCTGATGCCGCCCCTTTTCCCGGCCGCCCTTGCATCCGGTAGAGGCGAAGGAACCTGCTACCATGACTTGGACCCTTTCAAAAAGCGAGTGAAGAGTTAAGGTCGGAAGCAACCAGTTCCAAATCACAGGTTGCATTTAGTCGTCGTTCTGTTTAATCCTTTCAGGATGGAACGTTGATTTTCATGACCCTGCCACTTTTGAAAATTTACTTGCCAGTTATATTGTAGAATGCATCTTTGAGAGGAGCATTACAGAGATGATACAGTGTTTTTCTCATTGACCCTATTACGTGAAATTTGCCTCATTAATAACTTTGATCATTAGATTAAGGTGGCATCTTCCAGATTTTTCCACTATAAAAACTCCCCCTTTCTAAGTAATGTTTTGTGGGGATGCACTTTGAAACCATGTAAATACCTCATTTTACATCACACTTCAATTTGTTACTTTATCTATTATCTATACATTGTATTTACATAGCCATATGGTTATTTCATGATGGGTTATAATCCATTACTATAATTACTTATTTTGATGTTCAAATTTGTCTAGCGGGAGCCACTCCAATCAATGACTCATCCTCAACCAGCCTTTGAGCACTTTCTTATTTTCTGGTACAAGGTATTCTGGGCTCATTTTGTATGGTAAAAGTAAGTTGACTGTTCTTTGTATGGAAAATAATACAATCATAAGTAAAAATAAAAGAAGAAACTCCCTGGCCAGGTAGCTCAGTTGTTTGGAGCATGGTCCCCACAGGCTAAGGTTGCAGGTTCCATCCCCATCAGGGCACATAGAGTCAACCAGTGAACGGACAGCAGGTTCATGATTTGTTCTTTCCTCTCTCTCCTTTTCTCTAAAATCATTAAATACAATTTTTTTAAAGAATAAACTTTTGCATATTCACAACTGTGTATCTACTTTTGCCCACCACTGTATGTTCTCTGCCCCAATCCTGGAATTGGCCGTATCACACCTGGTTCCTTTAGTGGATGTTGTGGACTGAATTCCTGCATCCCTCTAATATTCTTATGCTGAAGCCTACATCCCAGTGTGATAGTATTTGGACGTGGGATCTTTGGGAGATAATTAGGGCTGGCTCAGGTCAAGGAGACCCTAATGATGGGATTAGTGACCTAAGAAGAGGCACTAGGATAATTTCTGTCTTTCCACCATGTGAGGATATAGTGAGAGGGTGGCTGTTTGCAAGCCAGTGAGAGCTCGCACCAGAAACCAAACAGACCAGCACTTGTACCTTGGATTTGGCCACCGTTCTGAATTGTGAAAATAAATTTCTTGTCCAAGCCACTCAGTCTATGGTATTTTTGTTAGGGCAGCCCAGGTAGACTAAAATTCTGATACCAAGAAGTGAGATGCTGCTTTAAAAAACCACATAGAGCCCTAGCTGGTGTGGCTCAGTAGACTGAGTACCGGCCTGCAAACCAAAGGGTCACTGGTTTGACTCCCAGTGTAGGACACATGCCTGCGTTGCAGGCCAGGTCCCCAGCAGGGGGGATGTGAAATGCAACCACACATTGATGGTTCTCTCCCTCTCCTTTCTCCTCTATAAAAGTAAATAAATAAAATCTTAAAAAAAAAACAAAACCCAAAACCACCTCCAGACAATAAGGAACTTGAAGGCAAGACATAGGTGTTATGTGTGCACGTTGTTTTGGGGGGTGTAACTGCTCCCAGGAGTCTCAATGGAGAGAACTAGGGAATATATGTATGTGGACACACACTCATGTACATTCACATACTTCTACATTTCACCTATTTTTATGTATCTTAAATCATGAATTCATACTCTTAAATTCAATTCCAACCCAACCCCACAGGTTTCACTCTAGTTTTTGCCCTTTCTGTATCCATAGCCCTTCTGTATTCATCATTACTTTCTCTGACAGTGAGAAATCTGGCTCCACTGTGGTAAGTGTATTAACTTGTTTGATGAGGTATCCTGCATGTAACCAACCTTCCATCTTTGCTGACACCTTTCCCCACGCAGGCACTCACCTCTCCAAGCCTGTGTGCTTATTCTTCGTTCCAGGCTGCCTCTGCTCACCATGTGACTAACACTCTCATGGTCCACATGTCCACTTTATCCTCTGCGATTGTCTTGAACCACTATGAAGAAAAGGATTGTAATAGCAGACCTAATACTGCTATTCTTTCTAAAGTCTTGCTTGTGAAGTTGGCCTTTGGCTGGCATCTGGTCACTCGGACTTAGGGGAACTTTCCCACCGTTCCCTGATAGAGCTGTTCTGTGGCCTAACACAGGCTTAACCCTTTCATATGCTGTCATAAATTGATGCTGAAGGAATTAAGTACACACTGTCTAATTCCATTGGGAGGATTCTAAGAGGCTGGTGCTTGGTTTCTTCTGGACTTTGAGATTACAATATGCTTCCTTAATCAGTCTATTTTACCTTAATGGCATACCACTTTCTGTATAATAGTATTTCAATATAATTCCATTTACTGTCTGCTCATGTCCTTCCTGCTTTTTTGTACTCTATTTTACTTCTACATATAAATACCACACATTGTACTTTTTAAAATTTAATCTTTGATATATACTTTTCCCATTACCATTTAGGCCCTTTATATTGCCCTCCCCCTGCACGTTTAAAAACAGCCAATATTCAGATAAAATTAAGACAAAAAATCGTTTGTATTTACTGATATATATCATTTCCAAAGTTCTTAATTCCTTCCTAAAGATACAAGTTCCTACTGAGGATCATTTTCCATCAGCTGATGAATTTCTTAAGATATTTCTTATGTGAGGCTGCTAGCAACATTATTTTTAGTTTTCATGTATCTGAAACAGCTTTTGCCTTCATATTTTTTAAAATATGAAATGTTAGGTTTTTATACTTTAAAGATATCATTCTACTATTTCCTGGATTCCATTATTTTTGAGGAAGTTAGCGACACTTACTATTTTAATGTAATGTCATGTCCCTTCCCTTTTATTTTTTGCAATACACTGTAACCAGATGAGATCTTTGTTGTATTTATTCTGCTTGGGGACCACTGACCTTCTTAAATTTGTAAGTTGGTACCTTTCAACATTAATAGGAAATTTTCTGTTATTACTGTTTTACATATTCCTTATGTCCCATTCTCTTTCTTTCCTTTCCTTCTGTAGCCAAATTAGATACATTAGACTGATATTGTTCCACTGGTCTCAAACCCCCACTCTTTCTTTTCTCTCTCTCTATGCTTCAATTTGATAATTGCATTGGCTGTCTTCCAATACAGTAGATTGCTTTGTCCAATTTACTGTTGAACCCATCCAGTGAAATTTGTAGTTTCAGATACTATTTTTCATTTTAGATTTTTATTTTTCATTGCCAACTTTGTCTTAGTTTCTTTGCTGAGAATCCAAATCAGTTCATTTCTCATCTTTTCCTATAAATTCTTTAACATATTTTAAAGCTGTTTTAAAATAATTTTCTGATAATTCTAATATATGGGTTACCTGTACATCTGCTTCTATATTTTCTATTGATCATGGTTCATATTATTTTTGTGTTCTTGGTAATTGTTTATTGTGTATTGGACTTTGTGGCTGATATATCCTCAAGGCTGGATTCTGTTTTCTTCTAAAGAATGTTGTGTTTTGTTCTGGCTACCTGTTAAATTACTGATGGATAACTTGGATGCTATGAAAGCTTGATTTTAAGCTTTAGAATTTGAGTTCCAAACTCTACTACGCTAGCAGTTGCTACCTCTACTCAGATCCTTAGACTGCATCTATTGCTTTCTGCTGGGTTCCTCTGAACGTCACACTGCACAGGGACAATTTGAAAGGAATCTGTAGACAGATTTGGGGGCTTAGATATTTGAGGCACTCCACTTTTCAAGGCTTTCCTCCCAATTTCCAGCTGTTCTGGAAGCCCCTAATGACTCCTCAGCCAAGCAAGACTGTCATACTCTGCTTGAATTCCATGTCCAAGCACACAGCACAAACTGGAAATTTCCTTCTGGGTAAAAGCTAGTAAATGTGAATCTTTTCTAGAATATTACTTTTTGCAGCTGTTGCCGTTTACCCCCTAGAGACTTCCAATCATTTTTATATTTTATTCAGAGTTTCCAATTGCTCTTGGCAAGACAGTCCCACACAAGCTACTCCTTCATTACCATACTGCAACCTCTGAAATCTCAAAACGGTTCAAATAAAAAAAATTAAAGGCAAAATAAAGTTTATACTTTATTTCCAGTCCACTAGGATAAATCCCACTTTATGCAAATGAACCTTCATTTCTTGTGAAGTACAAAAGACCAGATTAAAATTGAGACACGCATTTAAAGTAAAATCCTTTGACTCAGAGTCCAAAACCAAACTGTAAATGATTCATTCTACCAAAAGAATTAGTTTTTGTACAAAATATAAAGACTTTTACACTATAAACAAAAGCTGCTGTATATTTACTTAAATTAGAATTCTAGCATCTGCTTTTCCTCCAATTCATCCCAAGAAAACAACATATTTGCAAGTCAGAAATTTGAAAACCTCAATGGGCAAACTGTCTTAGAATAAGCTTCACACCTTTAAAATATCTTGAAAGAGAGTGTCAATTCTTTCCCTTGGTTAAGGGTCCAGTACATCAGTAAGTTCTAATTTAGTTTACAAAACTCTGCCATGTTAACATGAAGAGAACGCTAAACTTTAATGTTTAAGCATTACCTTTAGGAAGCTATATGACACAGAGCTCAATGCAAAAATCTAAAAGGTTACAATCTAAGTCTAATATTAATTCGAAAACCTCAGCAACCTCTATGTTGAAAATGACCAAACCGACCCCTTACACCTCCTTATATTATCACTATCCTGTTTTCATGGCCCTTCTATGAAAGAAACACAGCTTAAAATAAAACTTGGTCATAGTAAGTCATAGGAAATAGTTCTCCAGCACTAAGCTCAACCTCAGACCCGATGGGGTGAGTAAAATCACTTCTATACATGGATGGATAGTCATACATCTGACTCAATGTTTATGACAATATTAACTTGACTTTTATATATTTTAATATTTTGAAATCTGCTACTTAAAAACTTTCCCAATTAAATGTAGTGAGCTACATTAAATTATTCCAGATAGAATTATGATAATTTTAAAGATATTTTAAAAGTTGAGCTTGAAGCATATAGACCTTTAATATGACTAACCAGTTATCCAAGTATCAATAATGTTAATCTTTTTCTAAATAAAAATACAAAGTGAAATTTTGAGCTTTATTGAATATGTGTTAATTTGGGATGTTTCAAATTCTTGTCAATCATGTATATTTTATCATCTTGATTATCAATATTTTATAATTGATGTTTTAATGTTTGAGATCTTTAAAAGATACTACTCAGGACTTAAAATATGCATGGTTTTGGCTTAAAATTTTTTCTATTTATCTCACCCCTAATTTTTCTTATCCAGGGAGTTCAAAAGTCATGAGTAGAAGAGACATGATTTAAATTATGTCTACAAAACCCATATGATGTTAAAAACCATACATCTGTATTTACGTAAATCTTTAACAACAGCAAGAGTAAAATTAAGAATGTTTGTCTTCATTATAAAATTTTCATCGAGTAGGGGCAAGGTTTTAATTTTAATGTGTTCTCTCAAAACCAAACATACTTCCTAAATGAAAAATCTTTGTTTCTATTATAAAACTATTCTTTCCACCCATGACATTTTACATAAAAGCACCAAAGAAAATTTCTGTAAACAAACTTTTAACCAGTAAACTAAGGGCAAATATCCATTTGCCTTTATTACAATATTTAAAAGGCAATGATATGAGTCTCTACTTACTACATGACATTTGTATAATAAAAATTCAGGCATACTTATACAAACAAGAAACAGAGTTACTGTACATTTGGGGGGGACAAAAGGCAGATTAACAGACTACAACCTGTTAACAAAGTGAGCACAAGAAACCTATAAAATGTATGCAATTTATAAAAATTCAGTAATTTTTAAAGTTTCATTGAAGGGATTAATCATTATTAAGAATAAAAGATGGTAGATCCACGGGCTTATCATTATCCTGTAAACAGTAAGAAAGTAATAAGCAATAAATTAGAAATGTCTTAGTTTCCAGTACTTCCCTTTTCTTGCACAGGATCCACTTTTACAGCTGTTAAAATTGGCTTTCTTAAATATTAGAATAATTCTAGCAGAAAATAAATTCCATTCGAATAAGTTAACAGTCTACAATAGAATTTCTGACGAATATATTAGGAAAAAAAATACTGCAATCACATGAGAATTGATCTACATGTTGTATGTCAGAGTAACTCAAAACTTCCAAATTTCTCCTCTATTTTACTAGACTTGTTTTGTTGCTATCATACTGCTTTCTAATTTGCTGGGTAGAAAGATACTAGAAAAATAAAAAGTGAAAAGAACAATTGTTTAATGTCTGTAAATCTGTGAAGAAAAAGCCTTCAAAATCCTTTTTCCTATTACTGTTACCCAGAAAAAAAGATTCTTTTGGCACACAATTTGTAAAAAGAAAAGGAAAGAAAAAAAGAAATGTAATGTTTGGCATTCCAATCACCCATAGTAAAGACAACAGTAGGAGAGGAAAATAGGAAAATTTACTATTATAAAAAAAGACATCAGAAGACAACCCACGGCTCTTGTGTCTTCTACCATTTACTGTCTCTGGAATACTTTCATCTGCAACACAATATACAAATTATTATTTACATTCTGATTACATTGGTAAAGAAAACCAGAATCAATTTTTATTGTGCTCTAACTTACACTGCCCATTAGGATAACCATGACCATCAAGGCAAGGCAGCCTTAAACAGAATAATCCATTTGCATTGTATATTTTATTTAAATTTGTTTTATGGTTTATCTTCAGGGATGCACAAATGATTTTAAGACTCCAAAAAGTCCTGTAAACTTAGGCTGAGTTTCTGTAGCTTATAGTTGTTCATTTCAGATGGTGTGTGTCTCTCTTGGTCAGTAAAATGTTCTGCAGGCTTATAAAGGTATTTGCTTAAACAGTGGTATCTCCAAAGTCCTTGTTCCAACGTATGTATGCTTCTAAGGTTTGAGGGCTCACGCTGCGTTTTATCTTTTTCAAGGATTCAGTGAAGTCAGATAATCGAATATTTCTCATCTAGATTTTAAAAAAGCACATGACAATACAAATGATGAACACGTATACAGTAGTTACCCAATAATGGATTAAGTGACACTATTTATTAATGTTATAAATATATATAGATGAATTCTTTAAAAAAAATCATGCCAATCATCTTACTTTATATACACAGGTCAGAGTGAGGCAAAAGTAGCTTTATAGTCACGAGTATGGAAAACTGAGTTTATTCTTTTATTATTTATTAATTATTGTATTATTTCCCATATGAACAACAATAAACCTATTTTTGCCCCATCTTGTATTTTAGGCAAGGCTGCTATATAAGAAATTCTATTAAAATGCTATACTAATATACTTCCATTACATGTGTTTAGTTTCTTAGGTATTAACATTTTAAATCATAATATTTTCCCATTATAAAAACAAGGCACACTCATTATAGAAAATTTGACAAAATACAGACAAGCTGAAAAAAGAATCACTCACTCACAGTTCTGCCATTCAGATATACAACCACTCCTTACCTCTTTTCAGTTTTTTCTGGGTATAGGTTCATAGTTTTGCTCAAGTCTCACTAATACTTTAGCTAAAACTCATGCTAGGTTTATTAGAAAAGAAATTATTAATTCTAAAACCATTAGATAAACTTAAACTGGATAAAAGTATACAATAGAACCAATAGCTGTAACAATGTAACCTGACTACACATATTAGCGGGATGGTACCAGTAACAGCATTGTTATCTGAAATTTAGTTTAAAATGTTATGGCGCATATATATATATATGTGTGTATATATATATATATAAAAGATTTTATTTATTTATTTTTAGAGAGAGGGAAAGGGTGGGAGAAGGAGAAGGAAAGAAACATCTAAGTGAAAGAGAAACACTGATCACCCCATTGGGTACTGAACCCACAACCCAAGCATACGCCCTGACCAAGAATCAAACTGGCAACCTTAGGCTTCGTGGGACAGTGACACTGGTCAAGGCTGGCTTATATATTTTTATTTCTTTTTTTTAAGACTTTATTTTTTTTTAGAGAGGGGAACGGAGGAAGAGAGGGAGAGAAACATCAATGTGTGGCTTCCTCTCTCATACCCCCTACTGTGGACCTGGTTCTCACAATCCAGGAATGTGCCCTGACTGAGGATCAAACCATATATTTTTAAAATAGTAGCTACAATTATATTTTTAGGTATGGGATTAAAAAATCAACTCGATATGTTACATTGTAATACTGAAATGCACTCTATCAAACTGAATCAATGATATTTAAAAAATTTTAAAAAATATGTGCATTTTCAGGCACTTGTCATTGGAGTGGGGTAATTCAACACCAGTACTAATAAAAAACAAAACATGCACTTCTATAGCCAGTCTTAATGTTATCCTTCCTTAAAATGAACCAGGGTTCCTAGAGAGTTGCTGATTCCATGTCTTGGGATAAGATGTGCCTTGCTCCCAGAAAGCAAAAGTGCTTTTCAAAGTTGTGAAGTAGTGTTGAGAGGGCTCATCTTCATATAAAAACAGATTTCATTGGCTAAGTGTGACCTTTTAAACATAAAAAAATTATAATTGGTTTACATATGTGGCGGGTATCTCCTGACATGTCTCCTAATGATTTCCACCTCTTGTTATAAGTATGATCTGGATCTAAGAACAGAATATAGCAAAGGTGATGGAATGTCACCTGCAGGATTAGGTATAAAGCCTATGACTTCCATCTTCCTGGAACTCGCTCTTGTCTTCCTGGCTTGCTTGTTGATAAGATGTATATGTGGCAAGAAGTGTAGAGAGCCATCAGCCAATAGCCAGAGAAAACTGAGGCTCTCAGCCCAGCAACCCAAGAGGGGAAATGAATCTGGGAAAAAAAAATCACACAAAGGAGCATAGAAGCAGATCTTTCCCCAGCTGAGCCATGCAATGACTACAGTGCCAGCTGGCATCTTGATCCCAGCTTTGTAAGAGGCCATGGGCCCATACCTTGATTGCACTCCTCTGAGAGAGCCTGGAGCAGAGAATTCAGCTATTCACCCCTATTCCTGACTTGGTGAAAATGTGAGATAGTAACTAAGTTGTTTTAAGCTGCTAAATTTTTGTTGCATAGCTATAAATACCTGTGTCAACAAAATTACCTTGTTTTATAATCAAAAGAAGATAAAAGCTATTAAAAAAATAGACAAAATTCTTTTACTCTTTAAATAAAATAGGAACTATATTTAGATTGACTTTGTTCAGAGAAGAAAACTGTTGTTCAAGTTTGGCTGTATGTATATTCTCAGGATGGGTAAAATATATATAAAGATTAACTGTTAATAGTAAACAGATCTTTTTTCTCATGAAATAACGAACAGTTTCCTAAGAATTTCTGTTATTCCTGAAGCAGCCATTACTTTGTTTCATAAAATTATATATCAATGAAAGTGTACCAAAACATTCCATTTATAAGTACAAGCAATTGGCCTTCCTAGTGGATTGTCATGAAAATGCCATGGCCTAGGAGCTTGAGGCAGTGAAGAACACTTGCAGATGAGGGACTGAGCAGACTCTGCCTGCTGAGTCATCTGAGAACTGGTAGATTACTCCTTACTGAAATTTATTTGCAAGTTGGTGGTTTTAGCTCATTCCTGCCTTGACTGGTCTCTTTATTTGTATGGTCTTACCAAGGAACAAACAGAGGCCTAAAATGTCACACAATGGGTCTTTCCTCAACCTTAATCTAGGGGACCAGAGTGTGAGATATCAAGTTTACCTGTCCTGGATCCATGTCAGGGGGAGTGGTGTGTGCAGAAGAAATAATTCATGCCCGGTGCTTACTTTTTGGGTAGAAAAGTACTATTAGGTTCATGCAATGAGCCTAATTTGGAATTTATACAACTTTAAATGTGAGTTTTTAAGGTAACAGTGGATAAACACCAAAGTGGGTATATGGAATTCTCTACTCCTAATTCTCTATTCATGTCAAATATACTTTCGGTAAACTAGACTGTTCAAGTAGAAGGGTGGTTGCAAGAAGTCTGAGGACATTCTTAGTAATAAATGTGATTAACCACAATATATGAAATGCCTGAAGACAACATCAAGTTTACTTAAAAATTTGAAGAAAGAAGACTGCCAAAATGTACTTGTTCTCTAGGTAAAGAGTTCAATGTCTCCCTCAAAAGCTGTTGAAACTTGGGCAGTAAAAGAAAATATAATGTTACAAATATAATGCAAGTTTATTTTAAAAATGTGTTCACAGTTATTATTTTGCATTTCCAATTTTATATTTCATAAGCTGGCACTATTTTTCAAAAGAAATTCTTTAGCATCTCATAAGAGGATCTATCATATTAAGAAAATATAATAAATTACATTACAGTGGTAATTGTATTGTTCTTATAAGGAGAAAAACATTGAAAAACAAAATAGAACATCAAAGACTTAATATGTTACAAGATATTTTCATAATGTATAAAATCATTTCTTATAATTTTCTTATATAGTACTTATATAATATGAATTGTTAGAAAATGATTTAATGTCTGTGTACAATATTTTTGTCCATCACCCATAAACAACATAAGATATTGTAACTGAATAGGTCTCTACATTTTGAAATAAACCAAGATAATTTTTTTCTAGTTTCTAATCAAATAAACTATAAAATCTAGACAAAACCTATCTTACAACACAGAAGACAAAAATCAAGAAAAGATAATTGTAAAATAGTATACCTCACTGGCAGACATATTCTTCACTTGTTCTGGTTTCAGTTCTGTAAAATATAAAAGTCACTTAAAATTTTTGAAGTTTAAAATACTGAAGAGCAAAACCAAGTACAATGATCTAAAAGTATGTGTTCTATAAATCATTATTAAAAGAAACATATATTAAGAGCACATACAATGTATAAATGCTTAGAATAATATTTCTTTTTAGGAGTAACTGGAAGGCATTCAATCTCTTTTGGATATTATCCCAAAACTACAAATTTTACAGATTTGAGAGTAAACGTAAAATAATAGTACTTGCTCTTTACAAAAGGCATTAGCTGTTTTTTTAATCTACAACTTTTGTCTGCTTCAGAAAATAGATAAAATATTCTAAAAATACAAATGATTTATACATTAGCTATTGTTTCTGAGTCTCTATCTGAACAAGACTTGCAGCGAGAAAGATGAACTAAAATGCTTTACTCCGTGTTTCAAAATATATGCTCAAAGTTACATTTATTATTCTCCAAAGCAGCAGTTCTAAATCAGTACCTTGTTTCACTGTAGATGTATTCTGGAAGTTGCATCTTCCATGTTCTATTTTATCATTATAGTCAGTAATCTGAGTGTATACCTGACTATGCTGGCTATGGAAAAGTAGCTGAGAACATCTACTGTAAGTGATACCACAGTAAGTTTAATCTAACTTAACTTAAAAATGATCAGGTATGCTTTTTCAGAATCAACAAGCAATTCCTCAAAAATTAACACATAATGGTAAAAGGATAGTTATACGAGTTCCCTAGACACATTAACTTCAGGTGATATGAGAATACTCAAATAAAAAGCACTTAAAAAAGTTAAGAACATTTGTCCTTTAATATTCTTCTTTGCTTGCTTGAAAAAGTTTTTTTTTTTTTTTTCTTTGAGTTTTCTACTGCTTAGCTACTATCAAGTGAAACCTGTTGTCTAGAACAGGGATGATGGTCCACTGACCCAATGGACTGTTTTTGTATAGTGTGTGGGCTAAAAACAGTTTCACATTTTTGGGTTTTACTTTTGTTGGTGTTGCTGTTTAAAAATATATATGCAATGGAGAGCATATGTGGCCCACAAAACTGAAATATTTACTATTTTGGTACTTTACAGAAAAATTTGCTGATCCTAAGTCTACTTCTGATCCTAAACTACTTTTTCATATTTTCCATTGATACCACTTTAATGCTTTTCTACTAATAACAATCTCTCAATAGGGACATCTTAAACTTCTAAAGTGGTCTAATGAAGAGTTACAAATGTTTCAAAGTCTTGTATACCTACCTCGAATAGGACCCAGAGCTGCATCTTTTGCCAAAGCTGTTAGATCACTTCCTGAGTATCCATCAGTCATTCTGAGAATGGGTAAAAAGAGCAAATTATTTTCATCTTGGCAGATTTAAAATCTCCATGTAATAAGAGGATAAAACCTACTTTGCCTTTGTCCTTAAGCAGGATGCTATGTGATTTAAGGGCACAGAAAGGCCCACTTGCTATAAACAAACAAGTCTACTGCTGGTTCCTTATTTATGCCTCAAATTTTCATCATTACAACCAATCTTTTAAAAATTTTTATTACAGAGATTTTATTTATTTGGGGGAAGGGAGGGAGAGAAACATGAGTGTGTGGTTGTCTCTCTCACGCCCCCTACGGAGGACCTGACTCGCAACCCAGGCATGTATCCTGACTGGGAATTAAACCAGCAACCCTTTGGTTCTCAGGGTGGCACTCAATCCACTAAGCCAAACCAGTCGGGGCCACTCTTACATTAAAAAAAAATCCTTGCTTGAAGATATGTTTACTGATTTTAGATAGAGGGGGAGTGGGACAGGAAGGGAGGCAAGGAGAGGGAGAGGGAGAAGGAGAGGGAAAGGACGTACGGCGGGTGGTGGGGTGACGGGAGACAGGCAGACAGACAACAGTTGGCTGCCTCCCATATGCACCCTGACCAGGGAATCAAATCCTCAACCTAGGTATGTGCTCTGACTGAACCTGCAACCTTTTGGTGTACAGGACAGCACTCTAAACAATTAACCCACCCAGCCAGGGCTACAACCATTCTTTTAGATTAACACATACTATTATCTCCACGAGAATCTATTAAATTGTAAACATGTCCCCTGTAAAGGCAATAACACCTATAAGCCATTGCTGGCCAACTGACACATAAGCAGTTACTTCGCTATAAGTTGATGAGTCTTGTCTTGATAAAGAGCACTGACTTGATGGAGTGAGGATCAAAGTAGATTGTTTTTAATTTTATTTATTATATTTTTTTAGCTTTTGTTTTTTACTTATTTTAGACATTACTGAATTTACTGGGATGATATTAGTTAATAAAATTATGTAGGTTTCAGGTATATAGTTCTATAACACATCACAAAGTAGATGTTTAAAAATGTAGCACAGACAGGATGAAGGAAGGTCTGCAGTAGAAGACCCTGGCAAAACTAGGCACACCTGAAAGGGATGTCACGGTAGAGAATCCTGGGCAGCCAAGAGATTATCAAAACGAACTAAAAATTAGGGAGGCAAAGGGGAAGAGGAAAATAAAACAGGGAAAGAAAGCATTTACTTACCATGTATTAATACTATGTTAAATAATAACTGCACAGATCAGTCATTATTAGCAGAATTCTTTACTGGAATGTTAAGAATGATCTCGCCCTGGCTGGTGTGGCTCAGTGGACTGAGTGCCAGCCTGCAAACCAAAGGGTTGCTAGTTGGATTGCCAATCAGGGCACCTGCCTGGGTTGTGGGCCAGGTACCCAGTAGGGGGTGCACGGGAAGCAACAACACACTGACGTTTCTCTCCTCCTCTCCCTCCCTTCCCTGCTCTCTAAAAATAAAGAAAGAAATGTTTAAAAAAAAAAAAAGATCTCAATTATTTCCAAAAAATGAATTTGTACTTTTTTCATAGTTACCTAGGAACTCAGATAAAACTGTTTACTAAAATTACTAGCTACTCACATACTTACTGAATATTTTACATGACTTTAAGATTTTTCCAGTTATTAAAATTCACAAATGCATCCCCTATATTCAGTTTCTACTAGAGTGTGCCATTCATTAAAAAAGTTAAAGATGTAAAAGTTAAAAAAATTATGTGTAATGCAAAAGAAGTCTATATGAAAACATGTGCTGGTGAAGGAGAAGAGGATGAGTAAGGGATAGAGAATGTTTGAAAAAGTCATGATGGAAAACCTCCCTAATTGGAGGAGAGAAAAAGTCATGCAAGTCCAGGAAGCACAGAGGGTCCCATTCAAGAGGAGCCCAATGAGGCCCACTCCAAGACACATCATTATTACGATGGCAAATATCAAAGACAAACAGAGAATCCTAAAGCAAGCAAGGGAGAAAGAGGTAGTAACATAGAAGGGAGCCCCAATACGGCTAGTAGCTGACTTCTCAACAGAAACCCTGTTAGCCAGAAGGGGCTGGCAAGAAATATTCCAAGTCATGAAAAGTAAAGGCCTGCAACCAAGACTGCTCTATGCAGCCAGGCTCTCAATTAAAATGGAAGGCTAAATAAGGAGTTTTCCAGACAAAAGAAGGCTAAAAGACTACAACTCCACCAAACCAACACTGCAAAATATGCTAAAGGGACTGCTTTCAGATGAAGAAAAAGTTTCTATGAATATCAAGTTCCTTTCAGAGTTGCCAATACTTGATATTACCCATATTTTTAATACTCATTAATCTGATTGTGACAATGATGTTATTTTAATTGTTCCTTTACTATTTGTTGAAACTAAACCTGTTTTAGTATAAAAAAGATATTTTAAGTTCTTAAAATTAATACCACAAGTTTTAATTAAGTGTATAAAAAGAATATAGTACCATCATAGATATTTAGGTCATGTCTTATATAGGATCTAGAAATTGAAATTTAGATACATATGTATAAGAATAAGAGGTAAGAAAGAAAGTAAAGGAAACAGAGGATGAGACCAATTTTCTGATTACATCACTCATTCTACAGTTGAGCTTACTTTAAATAGGAAAAGATTTCTTTAAAAATTTTTTCATTGTAATTTTTTCATTACCATTTAGTCTCCTTATACCCCCCTGAAAAAGGTTTCTTAAAAAATAAATAAGTAAGTAAGTAAGTAACTAGTAAGTAAGGTGTAAAATAGATGGAATCCAATTACTCACCTAGCAAGTTGTGCTAGTTCTTTTTGGGTCAATGGGCTTCCCTGTTTACATAATAGATTTTTAAGTAAAAGTATTCGTGTCTGAAAAGAAACGTTAAAGGATTATCAGTCCTAAGAATTAGCTTAACAAAATACCAGGAATCAGGTTCAAATCCTAGCTCATTTAGGAGATGAATGATCTTACACAAATCTCTTTACCTTTTAGAGCCTAACTCAGGTTGTTTAAAGCTACCCTTCTTTGAGAATTCCTGAGAGAGGTAAAGATAATCCAAATAAAGCACTAAGGACATAGCAACTGTTACTACCAAGCATGTTAAGGGTCTAAAATAAAGAACCACAATTTTAAAAAAAGTTTTATACAAGTATGAATTCATACAACAGGTATCTCACCCATTGTAAGTCTGTAATTCAAAGATTTAATCGATGTAGAGTCTTGCAACCATCACCATAATCCAGTTTAGAGCATTTCTATCAACCCAGGAAGTTCACTCATGCCTATCTGAAGTTGCTCCTCACTCTTACCCTCAGCAAGTCATAATCTGCTTTGTTTTATAAAGTTGCCTTTTCTGAACATTTCACATAAATGGAATCATGATGTGTAATCTTTTACACCCAGCGTCTTTCACTTGGTATAATGTGTTTGAGGTTCATCCTCATTATAGCATATAAAAGTAACTCATTCCTTTTGTTGCAAAACAGTATTCTGTTAAACGGAGCTCATTTATTTATCCATTCACCAATTGATGAATATTTTAGACTCTCTGCAGTTCTTGATTATTTATAATTTGCTATAAAAATTCTTGTACATATCTTTGATAGACATATGTTTTCATTTCTCTTGGGTAGATTCTTAGGAATGGAATTGTTTGGGTCTTATGCTAAGTTTATGTTTTGTTTCGTTTTCTTAAGGAACTGCCAAATTGTTTTCCAAAGTGGCTGTACCATGGACTGGAAGACTCAATATTGTCCAGGTGGAAGTTCTTGTTTCTACTTTCAAAAAAAAAAAAAAAAAATCAAACATAGATACGTACCTCCTCATTTGGCAAAGACACATATACCCGTTTGGTGAAACGCCTAAAAGAAGGATACAAGGAATTCAGTTATATAATTTTGGATTTAAAGGTAACTCAGTTTCAGTAGCAAATGACAAAAAAAAAAAAAAAAAAGCTTTAAACATAATGCTTAAGGCATGTGAATGCATTTTAGTCAGCAATGTCAAAAGTTCTTTTTAGAGTTACTCTTTTAAAACTCCAGTTAATATTTAAAAATCCTTAATTCAAAACTGCCAGAACTAAGTTAACCATTTAGGTATGTGCATGTTTTTAAAAGTAATAACACTTTAAAATAAAATATTTGATATAAGAGTTTCAATAAAGAAACCTTTGCTATCTTTTTGAAACTAAAAGCAACTAAAACCAAGTGCAACAGAAACAGAAAAGTACACATCAAGAAACTGGGCAACATTTATGGAACTTAAATGTATGAAGAAGGGCTGCCTAGGGCAAGGCAAATTACACTGACAAAGGAGGATACACACTGTGGACTGCAGACCCAGGTGTCAGAGCACAGCGTTTTCCAAAGGAAACAGAGAGAGCATATTTTGAGGGGTAATAGACTCAACTTTCCTACATTTAAACAAATATGTTTAGACTGGCTCTGTAGATCACATGAACCCTAGTCAACAACTGGGCAATGCAAGAAAGGTGAAGCTAACAAAGAAACTCCAAGACACTTTGTCTTTGTAAGAAGACTAGTCAGTCTGGCAAGATAACAAACTGTCTTGCAGTGGCCAATCTTTATTAGTGGAAGAAGACTAACTAAATCAAGCCAATGTCTTAATCACACACATAACACTTGTTTATCAGGTAGGACTTTACTACTGAATTGGGGAGACTGCCTGTCAGTCCATGGTATTCATAGGACAACTCAAAATACTTGCTTGGTAGCTTACTTTTCTAGCTCTTCTCCTACAATATTCTTCCAAAACTAGGTTCTTAGAAAAAAATAAAACACATATTATAAGCAAATAAAAATAATAAGCAAAACAGGCAAAAGCACAGGTCAGATTTTTTAAAAAATAGTATCAAAATAGGAAAAAAGAATACAATAAATAAAACATAACATGAAGAACATGTACAACAGAATTCTGTCATACAGCGGATTAAAATTTTAACCGTATATATTTCCATGAAATATAATTTAATGAAAAAGTCTTCTATGAAACAAGAGCTCAATGAGATATAGGGTTCAAGAAAATGACATATTGTACAAAAGCTCAGGAAATAAAACAATGGGAGAAGATGAAAAAAATCGATCAAGAGGTCAGAAAAGCAATGGGAAAGAAAACAAAACCAACAGAGAAACAAAGGTTACAAAAGTAGTAGCAGAAAGGACATCAGACACTAACCTAGTAAGACAGAAAAACAACAAATGGGAAACAAACAAAACAAAAGACTTAAAAGTTTAAAAGAATTAGAAAGGAAATTACAGATATGGAAAGGAAAAAGATGCAACATAACACATAAATGGTGTGTAGAATTAAAAAGCAAAAAAATGAATTAGGAAATAAATTAAAGATAACTTTCCCAAAACAAAGGAGGTTCCAAATTATGAATTTAAACAAACACCAACTCCCAGGAAAAGTAAACACAAATCAATGTATTTTTCAGATAACTAGATTTCAATATTCAAAACTGTATACAGTAAGAGGAAAAAAATAAAGTTAATCCATGAATGTGAATATAAGTAGGCTGACTTCAGACTTCTGCAATACAACATCTAATCCTAGAAACAAGGGGCAATGTTATATAGATTCCTCAGGAAGAGAGAGGGAGACCAATAATTTTATGCTGAGTCAAACTGTCCTCCCAGTAGGAAGGGGACAAATTTGTTCAAACACTTAAGTACAGAGAACATGGCACAGTTTCCATGAAACCTGCTTTTATCAGCTTCTGATGAAGCCCAATAAAAGAGGGTAAGAATCAGTTTTGGAGTTTTAAGATAATTTAATCCAACCCAGAAGAAATAAGCAATCTGCCTAAAGCCGTATGTCCTGATATCCTGCTGGCCCTGTCCTCAAAATCTTTAGTTGGTAACAAGAGGCCAGAGGATAGTTATAAGGAGAAAAATAATGAATTTAGTTTTCAGATTGAGAGTGAGTGAAATAAGATGTTTGTGACATGAACATACGACTAAACATATCTGTAATAAATGTGTGTTCCTACATAAATCGTCCTACCTGAGAACAGCCTCATCAAGCTCTTGTGGCCTATTGGTTGCACCCATTACAAGTACTCTGTCATCTCCAGCAGATTGAACCTGTAAGCCAAAAAATTGCTTTCAGTGCTGTTAAAGAAAGTAATAACAAAGAAAAATATAATAGAGAATCTGTATTTCTAATTAGGGTCACTTAATATAAAAATATATACATTAAAATGTTACCACATTAATAATATCACAATCAATACCTACACCATCAAATTCTATTAGAAATTCAGTTTTTAGACGTCTGCTAGCATCGTGTTCTCCTTCTCTTCTTTCACACAAAAGGCTATCAACTTCATCTAGAGGAAATACAAGGATAGGACTTGAATTAAAAGCCAAGCTATTTAAGTTACCTGAGATTAATCTATTTTACTACTTAAGTTATAAATACAGTAGGTTCTACTCAATTCATTAGTTTTTAACTTTGTGCTTCTTTAAAACTTTTTCCTTCTGAATACTCTTTCCTATCTTACCTCTTATATTTGGAGAGGGATATTTCACAAAGGTTCAACTAACCTAGTTGGTAAACATGTTCTTACCTATAAAAATTATAGAAGGTTGAAGTTCTCGCGCCACAGCAAAAAGAGCTCTCACCAACTTCTCTCCTTCTCCCACCTACAACAAGGTATAACACATTATTACATATCAAAATTAACATTATTCCAGCTTTTAAAATTTCATGATTGAAAGTCTATAAGCTAGAAATTTAATTTCCTTTCTTTGCAAGATTTGGTTTAAGGAATTGGGAAGAGGATAAGGGAGGTTACTGAAACATCCCTTATGGTTTTAGAAAATAGAGCACTTATTAATCATTTAATAATCTGTTAAATATATCTGTTTTGCTTGACACTGTACTCTTAAGACTTGAGAATGAAACAGCTGTTAAAGGTAAAACTAGTAGGAAGACAAAATACAAGGGGAAAGAAAGAGATGCAGTACATATTCCTGAAGCCATAGGTTGCAGGGTATATCTATAAAAGGAGGTAAGTTAGAAAGTACTCTATCGAATAAAACTTGCTCTATGAAGAACACCTTGAAACCTGTTCTCACAATATCACTGCCAATAAATATAAAAATATTTTTAGGTAGTTCAAGAGGTCTATGAACACCCCTTCAGACATTATACTCAAACCACTCACTCTATGCACTAAAGCAGCAAATGAAAGGGACAGCACCAAAGCAGCAAATGAAAAGGACATGAGGTTGGGGTAATCTACTATAAAAACTCTTCTGTCCTCTAGGTGGCATCTATTCTTTTTATTGAAAATTTTGTTTAAAAAAAGAAAAAAGAACAGTCCCAAGATTTAGAATCATCAAAACAAAAATTCTCAGAGCTGGAGGTACCTGCAAGAGATCCCCTCTTATGAGAGCAACACTTTACAAATGAAGTATGGCCTGAAGTGATACTTTCTTAAGGCCAGCTCAAGACAGTGTTTTCCACTATACTAGATGTATAGTGTTGGTAAACCTACATTAATAACAATTTAACATAAACAAAATGTAACCAGGAAAAGAGGTATTGTTTTATAGTTACTTTTAATTACTTTACAAAATTGAGAACCCTGCCAATATGCGATCTTGGACTTTTAGCCTCCAAAACTATAAGACAATAAATTTCTGTTGTGTAAGCCAGCCAATTTATGGTACATAGCCCTAGAAAACTAATACAGTATTTGACAGCATAATCCTAATTTTATTTTATTATTTTATTTATTTTAACAAAGATTTTATTTATTTTAGAGAGAGGGGAAAGGAGGGAAAAAGAGAAACAGAGATGTGAGAGAAACATCGATCGGTTGCATCGGTTGCCTCTTATACATGAACCTGCAATGCAGTCATGTGCCCTGACCAGGAACAGAACCAGTGACCTTTCGCTTTGCGGGATGATGCCCAACCAACTGAGCCACACCAGTCAGGGCCAGACAATTCTAATTTTAAAAGTCTAACAAATGTACATGACTTTCTACTATGAAGAGCGAGAGTCATCATATCTAGTAGTAGATATAAAACTCAATAAATATTTTTGTGTAATGTTATTATCCTTTACATTTAACACAGTAACATTTAGATGGTAACTTAAAAGATGACAATAATGGAAAAAATACTCACGTATTTTGAAGTTAAACTTGCAGCACTTATATTAAAGAAGGTTGCATTAGATTCTGCAGCTACTGCTTTAGCCTTTAAAAATCACAAAGGCAAGTGTTATATTAGTTCAGTATCTAGCTTTATAAAGATAAACATTTGATCAATTTAAGCACAGTAAGTAAATAAAAATGTACAGTATAACGCAATTCCTAATATGGCAATGTGTTTCCTTCTCAGCAATAAGAAAAAAGGCCTATGAAGAGCTGTGCTTCTTTCCACACTCCCTTTTTTCCTAAGGGAGAATGGATAGGGAAAGGTTGTTTGTTTGTTTGTTTTTTAAAAAAAGAGAGTGTTATTCTCTTCCTAGTTAGAGAATATATAACTAGTTAGAAAAAGACTAACAGCTAAAAAAGAAGTTATTTTTTTCCCTATTTACTTTTTCCTTTTAGAAACTACGCAGGAGAAAGAGGTATCTAGATCCTAGCAAAAACTTTTGGCAAAAGGATACTGAGGGGAAAAAAGTCTGTTGTATGTCAATTATATTTCAATTAAAAAAAAAAATCTGTATCATGCTGATTATTTAAATAAAGCTGTTAAGATAAAAAATCAAGAGTTAGGAAGATAATATAGTAAGGTAAGCTCCTGTAAGGCAAAAATTTTATTATTTAATTTGGGGAAATAATAAAAATTACACTGTTAAATTTAACTAGCCAAAACATGTGACTGGACATATATGGTTTTCCATCTATTTTGTCATTGAAAACTAGTTTAAAAACATAAGTAAATATGTTATAGCAAAAAGCAAGTCATAAAGAACATTCAAATTTAAAAAGAAGTCTTACAAGCATTGTTTTCCCATTTCCAGGTGGACCAAAGAGTAACAATCCTCTGGCAGGAGCTCTTAGTCCTGTGAACAACTGAAAAATATATATACAACTATGATTCTGGAGACATGTTTTTCCCAGACATTTTAAGAATTATCTGTCATCTAAAAAGCACCATTTTTCAGTAACATCCTCCAAAACAGAGCTGCCTAGAGCTCTAAAGAGAATATATAATTAATAAACTTGTATAATTATTAAAAATAGAAGAAAACAAAATAATATAAAACCAAATCCTCATTGCTCACAATAGAAGCAGATGGGTTAAACAAGCCATATTACTGAACACAGGCATTACTCTCTACTGCCTTTGGAAATATCAGCAAAATGATAGTAATGAGTAAACAAGAGAAAAATCTTCAAAACAAAAATAGGAAAGGAGACAACACAGGACATAGTAAAGTTTTGTAGATGGAGAACTGAAAAAGTGTGAGAAATTACTTAGCAGAGCTGAGGGAGCTTAAACCTAAGTGCCTGCTTGTGATGTGATACCCAGATAGAAGGGGCAAGCTGATGTGAACAAAAATGCTGGAAAAGCTCAGGAAGTGGAGGCATCAGCCACCAGAGAAAAGCACCAGTAAGTGAGGCAGCTCAAAACAGAGGACTCCTTAAAAGTTTGTATGAAGAGCCCAGGCTGGTATGGCTCAGCTGGTTGGAGTGGCATCCTATAAATGGAAAAGGTCACAGGTTCGATTCCTAGTCCAGGCACATACCTAACTTGTAGGTTCAGTCGCCAGTCAGGGCACCTACAAGAGGCAACCTATGAATATTTCTCTCCCTCTCTCTCTCCCTTCCCCTCTCTAGAAAATCAATAAGCATATGCTCGGGTGAGAATTAAAAAAACAAAACAAAACAAAACAGTTTGTATGAAGAACTTAATCTATATTCCTGCCCCAACACCAAGAGCATTTAGGCAAGTACTCCCCTTTCACAACCAAAGGAGGCACAAGTTTTACTCTAGAGAAATTAAACCAGAGTCTCTAGACTCAAGAGACATCAGATATGGCAAGAATCAAAGGTGAAGCATCATAAAGATTAATACCTTCCTTAATAGTGAAGGTGTATGAACTTTTAAGTGGAACCATTTGAAGTGGATGATATTTAACTTAAAAAAAATTATATTTATTTATTTTCAGAGAGAGGGCAAGGGAGGGAGACAAAGGAGAGAAGCATCCATGTGCAAGAGATACACCAATCGGTTGTCTCTCGCATGAGCCCAACTGGAGACTTGGCCCACAATCAAGGCATGTGCACGGACTGAGAATCAAACCAGCAACCCTTTGGTTTGCAGGCCAGTGCTTAATCCATTAAGCCAAACCAGCCAGGGCTCAACTTTTTAATTTTTATGTATGTATGTATGTATGTATGTATGTATTTCTTTCCTTATTTATTTTTCAATTTTAAAAAATTACTTTTTTTTTTTGGTGGTTTTAGGTTTACAGAAAATTGAATGGCAAGTTCCCATATAATTCCTCACTTCCCCATTTTCCCCTGTTATTAACATCTTGCATTAGTATGGCACATTTTTAACAACTGATGAACAATATTGATACATTATTAGTAACTAAAGTCCATAGCTTACATTAAGGTCTACTGTTTGTATCATCACATCCACTATTACAGTATCATACAGAATGGTTTTACTGCCCTAAAAATCCTTGTGTTCCATCTATTCATCACTTCCTTTCTCCCCATGAACCCCTTCTCTCTAGGAGCTATGCAGAAGAAAGAGGTATTCAGATTCTAGTAATGGATAAAAATAAGTAAATGGATAAAAACAATTAAATTAAAATATGGGAAAAGATCTGAACAGCCCTGGCCAGGTAGCTCAGTTGGTTAGAGCATTGTCCTAACATACCAAAGTTGTGGGTTACATCCCTGGTCAGGGCACATACAAGAATCAAACACTGAATGCATAAATGAGTAGAACAACAAGTTCATGTTCCTCTCCCTAACAGATCAATAAATAAAAATTTATAAAAAGATGTGAACAGATACCTCAGGAAAGGAAAAATACAGATAACAAACATGCATATGAAAAAAATACTTGAGACTTCCAGTCAAGATGGAGGCATATAGGTAGACACACTTTGCCTTCTCGTGCAACCACAGAGAGAATTACAACTAGCCCTCAAAAACAAGCAACATTCAGAACTGTCAGAAAATCGAGCTCTATGGACTTCTGACAACCAAGATTTAAAGAAGCCACATTCTTCCAGACAGGCAGGAAGGGTGGAGTCACGGAGATGGGCAGAGAGGCGGGGAGACTCAGTGTGGTGCAGAGAGGTGGCAGCAGTGGTGGCAGCGGTGGTGGCAGCACAGGGAGTCCCATATTCACATACGGTGGATAAAAATTGGAAGGGATAACTTGGGGGCGAGTGATCCTAGCCCCAAGCCAGACTGCACAGCCCACGGCTCCAGCGCCAGGAAGATAAATCCCGCATCTTCCAGCTGTAAAAACCAGTGGGGGCTGGGGCAGTGGAAGAAACTGTTGGATAATCAGGAGAGTTTGTTGAAAGGGCCTGCACAGACTTAGAACATAGGCAAACCCACCCACTCTGGGATTCACTAACAGGGCAACAGTTGAGAGGGCACTAGTCACATACAGGAAGTGGGTAAAGTGACTAGAAATGAGGCAAGTCCTCGGCAAACCTCCAGAAGTCAGTGGCACTGTCCCCTCTCCAAGTCCTCCCCCTACACAGAAACACAAAGCAGTGAATTGGGCTGCCCCACCCTGGCGATTACCTAATGCTCTGCCCCACATAACTTATAGGTGCTTTTTACACGGAGTCAAAGCAACTCTACCTAATACACAGAAACAAACACAGGGAGGCTGCCAAATTGAGGAGACAAAGAAATATGGCCCAAATGAAAGAACAGAACAAAACCCCAGGAAAAGAACTAAATGAAACAGAGATAACCAACTTATCAGATGCAGAGTTCAAAACACTGGTGATCAGGATGCTCAAAGAACTCACTGAGTATGGCAAAAACATAAGGGAAGGAATGAAGGTCACACTAAGTGAAATAAAAATCTACAGGGATTCCCAGTAAGGGCACATGCCTGGGTTGCAGGCCAGGTTCCCAGTTGGGGGCATGCGAGATGCAACCACACATTGATGTTTCTCTCCCTCTCTTTCTCTCCCTCCCTTTCCCTCTCTCTACAAATAAATAAATAAAATCTTAAAAAACAAGAGTAATTTTAAAATCTACAGGGAAACAACAGTGGAGAGGAGGAAGCTGAGAATCAAAGCAACGATTTGGAACACAAAGAAGGAAAAAGCATTCAATCAGAACAGCAAGAAGAAAATAGAATTCAAAAAAATGAGGATAGGCTTAGGAACTTCTGGGACAACTTTAAACATACCAACCTCTGAATCATAGTGGTGCCAGAAGGAGAAGAGGAAGACCAAGAAATCAAAAACTTATTTGAAAAAAAATGAAAGAAAACTTCCCTAATTTGGCAAGGCAATAGATTTATAAGCTCAGGAAGCACAGAGAGTCCCAAACAAGTTGGACCCAAAAAAGACCACACCAAGACACATCATAATTAAAATGCCGAAGGTTAAAGATAAGGAAGGAATCTTAAAAGCAGCAAGAGAAAAGCAGATAGTTACCTACAAGGGAGTTCCCATAAGACTGTCAGCTGATTTCTCAAAGGAAACTCTGCAGGCAAGAAGGGACTGGCAAGAAGTATTCAAAGTGATGAAAAGCGTGGACCCACAACCTGGATTACTCTACCCAGCAAAACTATCATTTAGAATTGAAGGGTAGATCAAGGGCTTCCTAGACAAGGTAAAGCTAAAGGAGTTTATCATGACCAAGCCATTATTACATGAAATGCTAAAGGGACTTATTTAAGAAAAAAAGATCACCCCGAACAAAATAAATAAATAAATAAAAACGATGAACATTAAAAGGGCAAAAAACTCACAACTATCGACAACTGAATCTAAAAAAACAAACTAAGCGAACCACCAGAACTGGAACAGAATCATGGATATGGATATCATCTGGAGGGTTATCAGCTGGGAGGGGAAAGGGGAAAATGAGGGAAAAGGTGCAGAGATTAAGAACCATAATTGATAGGTACAAAATAGACAGGGGATGTTAAGAATAGTATAGGAAATGGAGAAACTAAAGAATTTACATGCATGACCCACGGACATGAACTAAAAAGGGGGATTCATGGAGGGAAGGGGAGGTACCAGGCAGAGGGGGGTGAAGGGAGAAAATTGGGACAACTGTAATAGCATAATCAATAAAATATATTTTTTAAAAAGACACTCTAATAGAAAAATGGACAAAAACTTAAACAGGAATTTCACAAATGAAATGGTCAATAACATATGAAAAGACACTCTGCTCTCAGTAACCAGCAAAATGCAAATTTAAAACCACAACAAATTACCATTATTAGCAAAAAAAGTTTTTTTCCTGACACTAGCAATTCCTGGTAAACATGTGGAGGAATAACTCTCATAGGTGGCTGTTTGGAAGATAAATGATTTAAGTACTTTGGAAAATAGTTTTTTATGGACAAAAAGCAAACCTACACGTTCAATGTCATAGCAATTCTTATGTGTCTACCCTAGAAAAACTCTGTATTTGTGCAGCCTGAGTTGTATACAGGAATGATGATAACAGCCTCAAGATGGAATCAACCCAAATGTCCCTCAACAGAAGAATGGAGGAATACCCTGCAATAGTGTATAAGCATACATTGAACTATTATACTGCAATGAAAAAGGATGAGCAATAGCCGCACATGGATGAGTGTTACAAACATAACTGAGCAAAATAAAAGTGTTAAAAAGTAAAGCAGAAAAAGAAAAAATATCCAACATCATTTGTCATCAGGGGATATCAAGTTAAACAACAGTGAGATTCCACTACCCACTTAGTGGAATGGCTAAAACCTGTACAGTTTACAGAGGTTTTTTTACAGTTTAGTTTGCCTCTTCCATTTAGGCCTGTGACCAATTTTGAATTAATTTTTGTGCAAAGTGTAAAGTATGTGTCGAGATTCACTGTATTACACGTGGATGTCTACCTGTTTCAGAACCATTTGTCCAAAAGGCTATCTCCTCTACATCAAACTGCCTTTGTCAAAAATAACTTGACAATATTTATGTGGGTCTATTTCTGCATTCTCTGGTCTGTTCTATTTATCTATTTGTCTGTTCTTTTGCTAATGACATGCTGTCTTGATTACTGTACTTCTTTTTGTTTTTAATATTTTTTCCAGCTTTATTGAGATAAATTCTACATAACATTGTCTAAGTTTAAGGTATGCAATGGGATGATTTAATATACACATATATTGCAAAATGTGTATCACAAAAAGGTTAACATATCCTTTACCTCACATAATTACCATTTTGTTGTTGTTATGATGAGAAAATGAAAGGTCTACTCTTACAGCAACTTCCAAATACACAATATAGTAGTTTACTACAGTCACCATGCTGTACCTTAGATCCCTAGAATTTATTCATCTTAAAACTGAAAGCTATAAGACAAACATCTCATTTCCTCTACTTCTAAGCCTTTAGCAACCACCATTCTACTGTTTAAAAGCAATGCTTTTAATTTTTAAAAATTAATTAATTCATTTATTTTAGATGGAGGAGAAGGGAGGGAGAAAGAGTGGGAGAGAATCAATATGTTACTTCTCGAACGCACCCTGACCAGGGACCAAACCCACAACCTAGCCATGTGCCCTAACCAAGAATCAAACCAGCGACCTTTTGCTTTGTGGGATGACGCTCATGCAACTAAGCCACATTGGTCAGGGCTCTGTCTCTTAATTTTAAATCCCTCTTACCCTGTTACCTATTTTTCCTATATATGTTAAAAATGGGTTGGGTATTAGCAATTCATATAGTAATTCTCTTCTAATAACTAGTCAACTTCAAATCTAGTGTTTTTTTCCTTTAAAGAAAAAATATTAAATTACTGTTACATGAATTAATCATTCTAGCATAGCTCAAACATTTCTTTACTGCTAATACACACTCAGTAATGGACGATGATATAGAAAAATGAGAAAATACAGTCCTTACCTCAGGCCTCAGAGAAGGAAGGATGACAATTTCTTGCAATGCTTGTTTTGCCAACTCTTGACCAGCTATATCATCAAATTTAACAGCTGTTCCACTAAGAAAGAGAATTTCTGTTATTTCCACAATAGATATATGCTTCAGTTATTATAAAATGAAGTCTAAGCTCTTTGAAATGTGGTCATTTTATGTTAACTGTGAAACTATAGTTAAATCAGTAAAGCAATTATTTTCTCCATTTACAGAAATTAAAAACCATCATAAAAATTAAATATGCAAAGGAAAGGGAAGGGTCAAATCAAGGAACATGTATGAAGGACATATGGACGCCAAGGTGGGGAAGGATTGAAGTAGGGAGGTGGGGGTGGGAAGGGCAGGGGAAGTGGTGGCGGGTAAATGGAGACAAATGTATTAGAACAATAAAAATGTTAAAAAATTAAATATGTAAATTAGAGAAGGTATTTACTATTTCACTCATGATACATTTTATAAATAAAATTCAAAATTAAAACTAAAATAAAACACTTTAGATGGCAAAACTTACTTGTCCACAATTTCATTCATTATAAGGTTCGCAAGGTTGCTGTCCACGTTTCTAAAATTCTTCAAGTCTTTCTTTTTACGAGCAGCAGTTGTAGGGGTGGAAGGTTTATTTGTTCGATTTGTTTTTGGTGTATTCTTAAAGGACACAAAATTTTAATGTGAAAATACAACCTAACATTTACACTTTTCACAAGCAAATTAACTTTAAAGTGCACAGAATTAAATGTTTAAAAATAAGAAAAATATTTAAAAAATTTTTAAATGTATATTTACTACAAGTAAAATGGTATTCACTCTACAACAACATTTGGTATGAAGTAGGTTCAGAGACTTTTATCCAGAGAGACTCCCAAGTCACCATAAAGTAAAATGGCTCTATGACAATGCAGTCATATAATTTTGATCCTTGTTAGAACTGTAACAACACTCTAAGTATGTTAAATGTTACGAAACATTTACATAGGTTTAAATAACTAAAAGAATAACAACTTTAAAATGAACTATATAGCATTATATAAAACTGAATAAGCAAACTTACTATAAAGCCTAATTAGGTCCAAAAGGAGGTAAAATAAAATTTGCTTTTTAACAGCAAGTTGCCCTTAAAGATTTTTAAAAAAGGAAAATTACATTCAACTTTATGGAAACTTATCAATTCTTTAAGGTATTATAAAGTACTTGTAATAAACTGAAGCAAGCACATCATGCTCCATTTTCTATTTGCAAAAGCACAGCAATTAAAGTCTGTCTCCAAATACCTTATGAGTGGCAGTTGCAGGACCAGGTCCTTGTCTCACTCCAGAAACCATGGATAAGCCACTGCAACTAGGTGCCCTGTGGTGGCCTGAAAGACCTGTGGGTCCAGCTTTCATAACTGTTTTTGAACGAGGCAGTGAGTTACTAGTGTGTGTTAAGGGATCTTTTCTTTTTGGAACTGCTCCACTTTCTATTAAGAAAATAGTAAAATTATCATGGTTAGAGAATTGTGGTTAAACATTATAAAAGTAATAATAAAGACTAGTATAAATTTGCAAACTAAGGTAATTTTTTTAAACTTCAGCACTATTTCAAAATAAGAATTCAATCAGAATATATATTAAGATGTTAATGGAGGTTGTCACTGGGTGGATGAAATTATAGTTATTTAATTTTTTTCCCTTTCCTGATGTAGATTTTTATTTTCTTAAAAGAATACATATTTGTAATAAGAGGAATTTATTTGTGGGGCAGGAGGAAGATGTAAAAAAGTTACCAACAAATAAAGTTGCCAAACCTTTAAGAAAGAAAATATAGTACAGGCATTAGGGAGAGGTTGTACAGAGGAAAAACAACAGTACTGCATTACCCTGAAAGTCCACGGTGTGTGCCCACCTAAAAAGCTTTTTTTAAATTATCAATTTTTAATGTACTGGGTATAAAGATGTGGTTTTAAATACACCAAGTTTTTTATGTGTTATATTTTATATATGTAAATCATTATGTATAGAACACCTTCAATTAAGTCTAAAAGAATTGTCTAACTTACAGTTCTCTTCTACATAAAAAAAGTCTTTTAAATGTTTAAATCTCACTGCTTCCAAATACTATTTTTATAAACAATGTTTACTGTGAAGACAAATGTTAAATCAATCAGCAAATTGATTAGCCTACAGAAAAGACAAAAGCCTTATTTTTGCTTCTGTCATCAAATCTCTTAATACGGTTTAAAGTAACTCAAAGGGAAAAACTTCAGAGTAGACTAAGGTCAAGAAGTTTGATTAAATTTGTTTACAAATAAATGTAAAGTTCTGAACCACATATTCAAGGAACTAAAATAGTGACCCTTAGGGTAGAAGCAGGAAAGCAATCCAGAAAAGAGAATGACAATAAGCAAAAGCAAAGATGTAAATAAAAGCAAGATCTGTGTAGGGTGAAGATAAATATTCATTTCAGAGGAAAAAGAGACAGAATTTCTTCAGACAGAAATATAGAGTCCTCAGACTACAAATGGATAGAGATTTCCACATGGAACTATGAGAATGACAACAGACTGACTTTTCATAAACAACTAACAAAGGTCAGCAGGCAGTATGCTCAAAATGCTGAAGGAAACCTATATCAATTCTATATTCAGGTAACCTATCACATACAAATGAGGATATTTTCAGACATTAGAAAGACTAAGAGAGTTTACTACCTACAAACCCACAATAAAAAACTACTAAGGGAGGTTTTTTCCTTATCTTTTCTTTGTTGTTGTTGTTGTTGTTAAAAAGTAAATAAACACAGAGAACTGAGCTCTGGGAAAGCAGCCAAAAGATGACCTAGGGGAGGCGAGACAGTGGCGATGGCTGAACACTTTAAAGAAGCATGTAGATGTCCCGTCTGCCTGACTTATCTTGAAAACTGCGTGAACTTGAAATGTGGATATTTCTGCTGCCTCCAGTCCATCGCTTCACCTCAGAAGGAGCCCGGCAGGGGAGGGTGTACTATGCCCCTTCTGTTCCAGAGTTTCTCAGAAGAAGGACATCAGATCCAAAAACCAGCCGGGCAGGTTGGTTTCAAAGGAGTTAGAGCCTCAGCTAAGACCTATTCAGCAGTTGAACCTGCTGATGCAGAAGTTCCAAGTGGATATAACCTTGAATCTTGACACAGTCAACAAACTCACTCATCATTTCTGAGGACCTGAGGAGTGCCCATGGCTGGTGTTTCAAATAGAGGTGGAAGGCCAGTGCTGAGATTCAACTATACAATTCATGTCCTGGGCTCTCTGTCCTTAGTTCACCTCTGGCCTCCATTACTGGGAGGTGGAAGTGGGGACAAGCAAAGAATGGGATGTGGGCATTTGCAAAGGATCTCTTAATCAACAAGGGCTAATTCTACTGCAAAGAATCTGTTAATTGATAAGGGGTAATTCTACCGCCTTCTTAATTTGGTTTCTGAACTGTGGGTTTAAGAAACAGAGATGTCTTCTCACCCAAAACCATGTCTTTGATTGTTCTTGTTAGTCCTGCTTATTTTTTAAAAAGATTTTATTTATTTACTTTTAGAGAAAGGGGAAGGGAGGGAAGAAAGAGGGTGAGAAACATCAATATGAAAGAGAATCATCAATTGGTTGCTTTTTGTAAGTGTCCCACCGGGGGAAAGAACCAGCAACCCAAGCATGTGCCCTGACCAGGAACCGAAGTGGTGACTTTGTGGGACAACGCCCAACCAACCGAGCCACACCAGTCAGGGCAGCCCTGCTTCTGCTCAGTTGGGTTTTTCCTGGATGTGAATATGAGGACCATTTCGTTTCATCACATTTGGTGATGGACCCCATATTTTTACATTCCCTAAAATTTCTCTTGCAGAGACACTGCATCCATTTTTGCTCTTGCAAATTCAATTAAACATTATCAAGGCTTCCTGAGAATCTGTCCTGTGATGAATCCAGGTAGTGCTGGTCCTACAATGATTCCTGGGCAAGGCCAATGAAGCCTGTGATTACAGAAATATTTACATAACTAACTTCGTGTAAGTTAACAGCCATAGCTAGGAACTTCTCTGCTTGTTAGACATATAGCACAAAAGTGTAGCAGAAAAATATGAAACAGTTCATGAATCATAAATTAATTATATTAGGAGTTACTTTTCCAATATTAAGTGTTATGGTTGTTTCGAGACTTGTTTCTATTTCTGTCCAATTAATATGTTCTGAACTTTCGGATCGATTTCCAAGTATTTTCTTTCTTATTTTCTAAAACAAAACTTAGTGTGTAATGGAGGTTATAAACTAAAGAAAAATTTGGATGTGGGGAAAAAAAGCAAGCACAGAAAGTAAAAAACTATAATATAAAATTAGAGAACAAGAAATATCACAAAATTTGTGGTGGAGGAAAAACTGAGGAAAGGAAATATAATCAGAATATACCAATATATTTGGTTTGGGGCAAACAATATTTACTAAGTCTTAACGTTAAATACAATTTTTAAGTATAACTAAAAATAATGATATATCTATATCTAGATCTATGGAGACAAAGAATGGCATAAGAGAATTAAACCTTCTTCTACCTAATCTACCTAATAAGAAGTCAATACATATCAAAAACTGAGAAATCAGGAATAGCATTTAAGAAATATAGTTTACGAGTTTACAACATATATGTATAATGGTGAAATAACCACTAAAATCAAGATATACAATATTTCCAACAGAGCCAAAAGTTTCCTTGTATCCACTTCTACTCCATCCCTCTTACTGTCCTTGGTCCTAGAGAATCTTCTTTCTGACAATATAGGAGGCATCTGATTTCCATTCATTTCTATTGATATACATTCATGGTCACTGAATCTTTCATTTGACATCTCCGATTGGCTGTTGAGGCTATCTAGTAAACTTTTATTTCAGTGGTTGTACTTTTAAACTTCAAAATTTCCATTATTTTTATTGTGTAATTTGTATTACCTACTTTGATTGTAGCTTTGAAAACTGATGGCACATTTTCTTTTTCGTCTTTGAATATATTTATAACTGCTGTTTGACATCTTGGTCTGCTAAATTCAACATCTGGGCCAAGTCAATAGTCAGTTCTACTGACTGATGTTTTTTTCTTGAGTAAGGGTTACACTTTTCTATTTTGTTACATGTCTAGTAATTTTGAATAAACTTTTTCTTTTTTTTAAATATATTTTATTGATTATGCTGCTACAGTTGTCCCAATTTCCCCTCCTTTGCCTGCCTCCACCCGATACCCCCCTTCCCTCCAGCAATCTTCCTCTTAGTTCATGTCCATGGGTCGTGCATATAAGCTCTTCAGCTTTTCCATTTCCTATACTATTCTTTGATATCCCCATGTTCATTTTGTACATACAAGTGATGCTTCTTAATCCCTGCACCTTTTACCCATTCTCCTCCTTCCATTTCCCAGCTGATAACCCTCTAAATGATCTCTGTTTCTATGATTCTGTTCCTGTTCTGGTTGGACATTGTAGATAACACATTGAAGTAACAAGTAGACTTTGGAAAACTATTTCCTAAGAGAGATAAGAAATTCATCCAAGTGAAACATCACAGAATGTTCCAGAATTGGGTGACACTAATAAACTAGGCTTGAGTGAGCCAGCTTGTTCACTAGTATCAATCACCAGTGCCATAGAGATTAGCTGTGAAGTTACTATGTCCCACCAAACAGAAAAAAGAATTAATAGAGCAGACAGCTTACTATGGATTTGAAATAAGATAGTTTATTTTTTTAATGGGTCCCAGAAAGAGAAAGTTGCTTTTTAAAAATTTTTGCTTGGCAGAAAAATACAATAGGATTGCGCATGTGGCAGGAAGTAGAAGAGAATCAGATAATAATAGAAAGGCATACAAGCTCTTCAGGGCTAGAAAACTTGTGCTATTTATCCTAGTAAAATTACTAGGATTTCAAATTTGCATTTTGGAAGCTTAACTATTTATATGTGATGCATCCTTAGATTTGTTTTTTCTAAAAGTTCCTTATGAAAATGTCGGCATTTCACAGCCATGCTAAGAAAAACAGGAAAAGTATTTATCTTTATACTTGAAATGGTATTATAAGTTAGATACAGGAAGAAATGAGAAAAGGAATATAGCTACTGATGTGGAGCTCTGTACTAGAGAACCAAACCTAAGTGATAACTCTTAAGGCATAGTTGAAGCCACATGGAAAGATTTCATTAATGACCAACTGTCTCTTTCATCTTTCCATTTAAACTAACTCTTCCCTATTGAAATATTAAAAGTTTTCCATTATAGATGAATAAAGAAGCCAGTGGTCTTATAGTCTAAAGTAAGTTCTTTTTGTTTTGTTTTGTTTTTTGGGGTCTTTTGACTACAATTTAAACAATGTAATACTTCAATAAAATTTAAGCCTGGACATAAAACTAATGCTGAAAAAGTCACCAAGAAAACTGACCAACATGTCAGAGAACTTAGGAAATAAAGATTCTCCCCACCCAAACAAAACAAAAAAGCATTTAATGTTCTGTGAATTCATATCCAAAAGTTCATGGAAAACAAATTTAACCTATAATAAGTAATAGTATTCTAATGTTACTCCTCACTATGCGAACTCAGCTTCAAACTTTTTCTTACAGGTACTGTGACAAAACATTCATGTACAGTATACAGGAAAAATGATATGCAATGAAAATTGATACAAAACAAAAAAATGAAAATTTCTCTTAAAAAACCCTACTTAACTATACATTAAAAAAAAAACACAGAAGTTGAAAATACAATAGAAACAAAAGAATATAGAAAAATGAGCCTTCAAATTTTATAATTTCAAAAATTAGAGCTTGCAAAATATGCAAATAAAGCATGTTGAGAATGGATAGACCTTATTTGTTACATATTTATATGCTTAATGATAGGAATGCTATATTGTCAACATAGCCCTGTGCAAACAAAAACCAAGCAAAACTATCATTATATCAAATCAACATTATCAGGTTAAGTGGGACTTGACTGTGCATGCAAGCTTTATTATTTTACATATTAGTTGACCTAAACCCACCTGACTGGAGATGTCCGTTGCGGCATGTCAAGTTAGTACTGTCATTATAGACGTCTGTTTGTGACTTGGAAAATTGCAAAACTGGTTGCAGCTTCTCTATGCAACAGAGGAGGGTAAGAAAGAACAAAATAAACAAAAAGAAAAAATACAATGAAAAAAAGGTACATGTGAAAATGAAAAATGGTTCAAAGTGTTACAAGGTTGTTACATGATAAAGAGTTTGGCATTTATATAAAATTCTCCCAAAAATATAATTAGTAAAAACTCAGATATTAAAATAAAAACAGAAATTAACATGAACGGTTATGTTAAAAATGTCTTAGTTGGATTTGGTAACCTGAGACAGTTCTATATTGTTATTATCACCAGCAAATATTTTCTGAATATCTAGTATATCTAAGTCATTGCACAGAAAGAGCAACATGAAGATAAAAAAAATGAGTATCAGTCTCTATCATCCAGACACTTATTAAATATAATTGACAACTTACAACACAATGTTTTAAAAAAGACTGTACAGCATGAAAGAGAGAGAACATTAAAAAGGCTCTAGAGAAAAAGTGAGCTATGAGTTGGCAAGGATTTGAAAAGATAAAAGGGACATTTCAGGAAAGGAGAACCTTTAAAATGACAGAAGGAAACAAACCATGAGGAGTGTCTAAAAAATGTCATATTCAGCTACCTTAATATATGTCAAGCAAAAAATAAAGGCCATAAAGCAGAATGAAAGCAGCATGCTTCAGGCCTGTCTGTACAACACCCTACCACTTATGTGTGCACACTTGTCCCCCCTTATCTGCAGGGGAGACATGCCAAGACCTCCACTGGACCCTTGAAACCACAGATAGTACTGAACCCTACATATACTATATTTTTCCTACACATACACACCTATAATAAAGTTTAACTTATAAATTAGGCACAGTAACAGATTAACAACAATAAACTAATAAAATAGAGCAATGATAACATACTGTAATAAAAGTTTTGTGAATGCGGTCTCTCTCCCTTTGATAACTGATCTGACAACTGAGATGGCTACTAAGTGGCAAACAGGCGGGCAGCGTACACAGTGTGGATTCCCTGGACAATGGGAGGATTCATGACCCAGGTGGGATGGAGCAAGAAGAGGTGAGACTCATCATGCTACTCAAAGCAGCATGAAATTTAATTATACACTGCTTACTTCTGGAATTTTCCATTTAATATTTTCAGACTGAAGTTGACCATGGGTAACAATTCACAGAAAGCAAAACCATGGATAAGGGGGGTGGGGGCTACTACTGTGTAGGAAGATTATCTCTAAAAAGAACCCAGAGAATCTGGTGACAGAAGTTGTCTCTGGGGAAGAAACATGAGTGGCTGGGGCACAGTAGGAAATGATTGCCTGTCATACTTAAACTTTTAAAATTTTGTGGCAACACCTAAAATTATCTAAAAATTGAAAAGGATTATTTCAGCCCCATCTGTACTTCAAATAACAACAAATTTTCTCATGATCTAGGTTTTTAAATCTAGCACTTGAAGCCCGGAGGGTAGCAGTTTGAAATTCCGTGCCTCTCTACATCACTGCTGCCCCCTTTCCCCCATTCACGTCCACCCACACTGCTAGCCGACAAACGCCCTGCTCCACCACTTACTCGCCAGTATGAACTTGCTTTCAGCTTTTCCGAGGCTCTCAAGGATTAAATGAAGTAATATACATAAAGTCCCTACTCTATGTCTCATTCACAATAGGAGCTCAACGTTACATTAATTTTGTTGAAACATTCCAAGTTATCATAACTGATTCTTTTAATACTAGAAAGTCAATGAATACATGCAAAAATATAGCACATCTATACTAACTCTCCTAAACTTCCATTTCTAAGGTCAGACAAGCAGGCGCCATGCTTGGTTTATGGTACACCACACATGCCTTTGGGACAGGTTAAATAGCAGCTACCCTTTTTGCACAAAGCACAAAGTACTGCACAGCTTTTGTGTCCCAGAACTGGCTGATACAATATACCCTGGAGCTCAGTTTTTTTTTTTCCTTGTTGTTAGTTAACAGGTAGGTCATCTGATTTTTCTTAATGATAATACTGTTCGAATCACCATACTGAGAAAGAAACCATTTATGTTGGCAAAAGATATAAATAAGAAAAAAACACTGATTTGTAAACGTCTTCTTTATCAATTAACACTCTCTTAATGCAATGTAACAACAGTTCACATAAACATTCATTATATAATAAAATAAACAGAAAGTAAATCCTCAGTTTTGATAATAACTAGGAATAAAGAGCCACAGAATTGTTTCTTAAATGTGTAGGGTTTAGTTTTATAGGCATGGAAACACACATACACAGTAGCGGTGAGCTGCTTACGTGAACCCACTCCTCTTCATCTTTGTTAAAGAATGTCAACAGTCACCCTCACATGCAATCCCCATACAATCATCTACCTAAAAGGAAAATCTTACCACAGAACTGTTCTGCTAAAAACCCTTTAGTAGCTTCTCATTGCCCTAGATCAGCCCTCAAGCTCCTTCACATGCCAACCAAGGCCATCCATGCAATCCAAAATTCACACCTCTACCAGCACCCTTCCTTACTCACTATACTGTTTCTTGGCCCTGGGTCTTTGTTCATGCTGTTATTTCTTCCTGAACCATCTTTCTCTCATTCTGTAAAAACTTTTATCTTTTTAAACCCCCACTTTAGGCTTCACGTCTTCCAGGAAGATTTCTTAGACACCTATTTCCCCACCCCTACAAAATACTTGTGTATCCCATCATGCAGTGACATGATTTACCTGCGTGTATCTATCTCCCCACTATGTCATGAGAGCCTTAAAGAGAGGAACACTTTATCTCATGTATCAGTAAATCAGTTTGCTCAACATTTAAATATGATCAGTCTCCAACCACTTGTTTACTATTTCTCCTGGTATCACCCCGGTCTAAGCCTCTATCATTTTTCTCCTAGCATACTAAATAGTGGTCCTACTTGTTCTCCCTTATGCAACATAGTAGCTAGTGTGACCTTTTTAACATTTAAATCAGATTATGTCTTTCCTTTCCTTAAAATCCTTATAACTGCTCCCTGCTTCACAGGTAGTAAAAGCGGCTTATAAGGCCTTGTGTGTTATTGACAACTGCCACCCCCATTAGTTCTCTGACCTCCTGTCTACCATGCTGGGGCACAGTGGCCTCTGCTGCTTCTCAAACCTATCAGGTGTGTTTTCTTAAAGCTTTGCATCGGCTCTTATGCCTCTCAGGGCCATTCTTTTTTCAAATACCCGTATGGCTAACTTGTTAACTTCTCAAAGAGGCATACCCTGACCATTCTATTTGAAACTAAAAATCCAAACCATCTCCCATCCACTCCTGAAATCCTCCTTACTGTGTTTTACTTTTTCTTTTTTCCACATATTTATCACCTCCTAACATAGTGTATAATTTATTTATTTTTATGTTTATTGCCAATGTTAGTCGTCCCCTGCTGATACAAACTCTGAAGAAGGGACCCTTATCTATTATCCTAAGCATTTAAAACATGGTAATTATCCAATAAATACTCGCTGAGTTAATAAATTCAGTTTATATCCCTTGGCATTTTACCTGGTAGAGAGTAAAAACTTAGTGAACGCTGAACAAAGCTAAATTTAGAGGGAAAAAACAGGGTAACCTCATGCCACCATGTATACCAAGATGCTGATGCCGAAATTATCTTTTTTTCTATAGCAGGTTTTATCACTAAGCTTTGTTCTAAGGTTCACTGTCACTAAACTGAAGATACAGTAGTCCCCTCTTATCCATAGTTTCAGTTACCCAGATCAACTGAGGTCTGAAAATATTAAATGGAAAATTCTGGAAATAAATAATTCATAAGTTTACAATTGTGCACCATTCTAAGTAGTAATAAAATCTTGCACCAACCTGCTCCATTCTGATTGGGACATTAATCATCCCTTTGTCCAGAATATTCACGCCGTATACGCTACCTGCCCCTTCGTCACTTAGTAGCCCTCTCAGTTATCAGATCAACTGTAGAGGTATCTCAGTGCTTCTGTTCAAGTAATTCTTATTTAACATGAAAATAGCTCCAAAGTTCAAGAGCAGTGATGCTGGCAACTCAGAAATACCAAAGAGAAGCTTTAAAACATTTCCTTTAAGTGAACAGGTGAGTACAGTACACAGTAAGATATTTTGAAAGACTGCATTCACACAGCTTTTATTATAGTACAATTATTCTATTGTATTTAGTTACTGTTAATCTATTACTGTGTCTAATTTATAAATTAGACCTTATCATAAGTATGTATGCATAGGAAAAAACAGTGTATATACGGTTCAGTACTATCTGCACTTTCAGGCGTCCCCTGTGGATGGGGGGACTACTATATATAATAGATATGACCTCTTCCCAACTTTATCAGAGAGACCGCATCCTCTCAAATTAGTCTGTCTGGGGAACTCCCAGTATCATTCTGCATTCTAATTAGATACCAATTGGGCATCCCACCTCTGAAAAACTCTGTATCTTAACCAGCACATAATACACAAAAATGCTCTACTATGCACTTGTGCACAGCTCTTACTTACTGTTGTTGATATATATAATCCCAGACTATGAGTTCTCAGAAGACAGGAATATGTTGATGCCCTCTATCCCACCCCTATTTTTAAAAAGTAGTATCTTTCAGTCCTGGCTTGGTAGGCTGGCGAGAGCATTGTCCCTATACACCAAGGTTGTGGGTTCAATCTCTGGCCAGGACACATACAAGAAAGGAACCAATGAATGCATGAATGAATGGAACAAATCAGTATTTTTTTCCTCTCTCCCTCTCCCTTCCTTTCTTTCTCTAAAATCAATAAATTAAAAAGAAAATAACATCTTTCATTAAAGGGCACACAGCACTTTTGAGGAAGACAAGAGACAACACTGATTTTGGAGAGTGGGCAGGGCCGGGGGGGCAGAGAGAGAGAAAGAGAGCAACATCGATGTGAGAAAGCAACATCGACTGGTTGCCTCCTATACGTGCTCAATCTGGGATAGAATCCATAACCTAGGTATGTGCCCTGACCGGAAATCAAACCAACAACCTTTTTGTGTACAGGAGGATGCTCCAACCAACTGAGCCACACTGGCCAGGGCCAAAATATTACTTCTTTCAATGCCTAGCTTTTATATCAATCACGGCTATACATCCACCTATCAATTTACAGGTAGGACAGAAGAATGTATTAAAAGGTACCATGGAGATGTACATGCAAGTCAGACCATAGGAAACACTATGCGGCAAAGATCTGGTTCATTGACAAACTCCAAGAAAAACAGATGGACTTGTAATTAAAAGAGATGTACTGTAAGGGTTTTTTTTAAAAAAAAAACCAACAACTGGGTTGTGTGGCATTTGGGAGAAGGCTGGAGCTGCCAACCTCCCTATGCTGGGTCCCTCTGATCTAAACAATTGTAAAAAATAGTAAAAGCCTGGGCTGGTGTGGCTCAGTGGACTGAGTGCAGGCCTGTGAACCAGAGGGTCGCCAGTTTGATTCCCAGTGTAGGGCACATGCCTAGGTTGTGGGCCAGGTCCCCACCAGGGGGCAAGCAAGGTACAACCACACATTGATGATTCTCTCCCTCTTTTTCTCTCCCCTCCTCTCTCTCTAAAAATAAATAAAATCTTAAAAAAGAGTTATTCAATTATTAGATAATAACTGGATATATTATATTATATATAAATTATATTTGGACACTGACCATTTTTGGTATTTTTTTAGTATTAAAGAAAATGACTTTTTTTTACATGGGTAATGGTATTTTTTAAGGCATCTTTATTTTTTAGAGATACAATATGAAATACTTATAAATGATATAAAAAGATGTCAGAATTTGTTTCAAAATAATATGAAGTGGGAGAAAGTGGGCAGGGATATAAACAGGGGTTTGCAAAATTTTTCTGTAAAAAGCCAGGCAGTAAATATTAAAGTATTTTTAAAAGCTACATTTTAAAAGTCTTTGAGAGTTATATGATCTCTGTATCAAATATTCAACTCTGTCACTGTAGCATGAAAGCAGCCAGACAATACGTAAAGAAATGAGAGTAGCTGTTTGCCAATTTATAAAAATGGGCAGTGAACTGGAGTTATTAGCCTTTGGCCTTTAGTTTGCAAACCTTCGGTGTAGATAAATCAAGGCTGACCATGAGATGATGATTATTAAAGCTAAGTGAGGGATAATTTTCATTATACTTTTCTATTTTATGTTAGGAATATTCTATAAGTTAAGGGAAAAAAAGCCTACGTCACATTTTCAAGATCATTGATCTATTTCCATCTACATTACAAGTTAATTGAACAGCCCTGGCTGGTGTGGCTCAGTGGACTGAGTCCTGGCCTGCGAACCAAAGGGTTGCTAGTTCGATTCCCAGTCAGGGCATGTGCCTGCATTGTGGGCCAGGTCCCTCAGTTGGGGGCATGCAAGAGGGAACCACACATTAATGTTTTCCTCCCTTTCTTTCTCCCTCCCATCCCCTCTCTCTAAAAATAAATTTAAAAATTTTTTTTTAAAAGTTCACTGAATACACATTTTAGATACATCTCATTCCAATTATATAATTCATTGATACCTAGAAGTTGTAAACGGTCCTTGGCCATAACCAAATTAGTCATCATTTTAGCTTGAAGGCGCCTAGCTCTTTCACACTGTTCACCTGAAAGAAAAAAAACAGAAGAAAAATTAAAACATCCAATGTTTCCCTAATAATATGGTTTCAAGATAAAATATTACCTCAACTAATCTCACAGGAAGTCATAGTCTTTATAAAAAATATTTTAAATAGTATTTTCACATAATATTTTTAAAAAATGTTACAGTTCCTTTTGCTGGTTTCAGACCTATTGTGGTATTCCATGGATTTTGAGCCATATTTTTTCCCCCTATGTTTTAAAATCTTTGAAATTGGGATGTGTTTTAGAAGCAGTGCCATGGGCGGGGCTGCAGTCATAACATAGTTGCTACTGCCTGTGCATGCACCATTTGCTCGTAGATATTAACGCTGCTGTTATTGCTGTGTCTGAATGAGATAGGCCAGCAAATTCAATAAGGTTTAAAATTCAATTTCTGAATGATAAGAAGAGAATGTGTCATTGTTTGACACTTTTTTTCTCTGAATGATAGAATTGAAGGCATTTTTGTTTTAGTGAAATACTCCTTATAAACAACTTATTTACTTCAAACTCTTCTATGCAACTGACAAAGAAGAGCAAATATATTTTGTACACAATTCATAAAAGTCATGCTCATAAACTCATGAAAGTCTCAAATACCCAACCTCCTAGATTTATTTGTTCTATTTTGGTCTCTTTTATTAAGTAGACTAGTAGCTAAAGAAGTAGTCAAAATAAAAAGGGACAGGAAAAAAAGGTAAATATTGGATACATTGTAATTATTGGAGATTAACTGATATAAGTATCAGTCAGCCAGACAACAAACATCCACTGGATGGACTGATTCATAAGGTTCTTAGCCTACATATTATTTTTGCTTCTAATTTTATTTTAGCTATAATAAACTGACATACTTTATTTATTTATTAGTGGTACCCATGTACTGCACAATAGTCACAGCACAGTATTTAAGAATTCAGGCTGCCTGTACTCAAATCCTGACCCTACTGCTTGTTAGCTATGAGGCTTTAGGAAAGTTACTTAACTTCTTTGTACTTAAGATTATACATTTGAAAAATAATAGTAACAGCAGCAGCCTCAAGTGTGGGGTTTTGGTGAAAATTAAGAGATAATATATATGAAGCACATACAATGATGCTTAGGCACACTGTGCAGTAAATGCTACCGATATATTTAAAGATATTAGACTAATTTTTTTTTATTTGAGGTAATAAGATAAGTAATAACTGCTTTGGTTTTAAAAAGCCGAGTGTGATTCAAAGACAGACATTTACAGCTTGTATTCTGATATGCAGTCAAGCAATACTCACAAGTGCAAAGAGGAGCCTGTGGATTAACCCCTTCTCCCTGCCTCAACAATGAAGAAAGGACTGGTTTCAAAAATATGGCTAAACACAGGCTTAAAATATCACCGACAGTGGGACCAAGAAGGGCACAAGCAATATACTGGTTTTTGCCTGACTGCTACAGCAATCAAGTTTGAGCATCTCTGGTTAAACTGCATTTTTAGCATAGGTAGTAACACATTAACTGTAAGACTACAAACATTAACAATATTTTTAAAACTTTTAAATACTTCTGTTAAGAAAGATGGATCTAAAATTAGGGTATTCATGTGAATATAATTTTGGATGGCTCCTAAACAAATGTAAATAACTTACCTTGTCCTGTAACTATGACAGCTATTCCTTTTTCTAGTTCTTCAATACCTTTCTTGTACCATTCCACAGCTTGCTCCTTTTGTCCTGCTTAAAAAAGAAATAATTGTATATATCACAAGTATAAAGAATGAACTAAACACCTCCCAAAGCATGCTGTTATTAAGTGATACATGAAACAGAGTTGTGATTAAATAATTTTAAGAAATACTACTATGTGATTTCTTTGTATCTTTAGCATCTTAACAATACATGTGAATCTCCAAGGGTAGGATACAGACTTCGATGTTTTTCAAAATTTTAGGGCTGTGAGTTCATTTATTTATCATCTCATGGTGCTGATGCTTATAACCATACAAATGATGTACTATGGACAGATATTTTATATAAGGATAATTTATTTTAAATAAAGGGTTTTTAAAATAAAAATAGGACTTCAATAATATCGAGGGGGAAAAGAGCACTGTTTAAACTGTATTCAAATCTAAGTAATACCTCCTATATTCAATGTTGGGTGCCTCTTTTCTAGTTTTTATTTCATAAATGATAGCATCATAAGAAATCATACATGAGATTACAAATGTGGCATTTAGTAACACATTTCTATTTTCTTTGAAACAAATGACTGGTTTACAATATTCTTAATCCAAGTTAATCTTAAAAAGAATCTAAAAAGTCAGCACAACCAAAATGTGGAGATTTTTGTAAAGTGATAACAATTATATGCAAATCTCACTGGTTTTTTGCATTTCTTTTTAAATTGAATTTATTGGGGTTACATTGCTTAATTAATGTTTCAAGTGTACAATTCTATAATACATCATCTATATATTGTACTGTGTGTTCACCACTCATAGTCTAGTCTCCTTACATCACCATTTATTACCCCATTACCCTCTTCTATTTTCCCCCACCACCCTTTTCATCTGGTAATCACCATACGGATATCTGTGCCTGAGGGTTTTCTGTTTGTTTGTTTGTTTTGCTTCATCCCTTTACCTATTTCACCCAGTCCCCCAACCCCTTATCTTCCACCCAAACAGCTGTCGGTCTGTTCTTTGTATCTACGAGGTGTTCATTAGCTTCCACAAATAAGTGAAATCATATGGTATTTGTCTTTCTCTCATCAGCTTATTTCACTCTGCATAAAACTCTCTGGGTCCATCCATGCTGTTGTGAAAGGTAAGATTTCCTTCTTTTTTATAGCTGAACTTTTTTATACACTCATCTACTGATCAGCATTTGGCTGCTTCCAAATCTGGGCTATTACACACAGCACTGCAGCAAATCTAGGGGTGCATATATTCTTTCGAATCAGTGTTTCAGGTTTCTTTGGATATAGTCCCAGAAGTGGAATCACTGGGTCATAACGCAGTTCCATTTTAATTTTTTGAGTAAACTCCATGCTGTTTTCCACAGTGGCTGCACCAATATGCATTCCCACCAAAAGTGCACAAGGGTTCCCTTTTCTCCACATCCTTGCCAACATTTGTTTTTTGTTGATTTATTAATGATAGTTATTGCGACAGATGTGAGGCCATATCTCATTGTGGTTTTAATTTGTATTTCTCTTATGGTTAGTGACATTGAGCATCTTTTCATCCATTGGCCTGGCCATCTGTATGTCCTCTTTGGAGAAGTGTCTCTTCAGATCCTTTGCCCATTTTTTAAATTGAAGTGTTTGTTTTTTTTGGTGGTAAATTCTGTATACATTCTGGATATTAATCCTTTATCAGATATATTACTGGTAAATATGTTCTCCCATTCAGTGAATTGTCTTTTCATTGTGTTGAAGGTTTCTTCTGTTGTGCAAAAACTTCTTAGTTTGATGTAGTTCCATTTGTTTATTTTTTCTTTTGTTTCCCTTCCTGAGGAGATGCATCAGAAAAAAATAGTGCTACGAGCCCTGACTGGTGTGGCTCAGTGGGTTGGGCATCCTCCTGCAAACCGAGGGGTCGAAAGCTGGACTTCTGGTAAGGGCATATACTTAAGCTGCAGGTTGGGTCCTCAGTTGCAGGTGCACTAGAAGCAATTGACGGATGTTTTTCTCTTCTTTCTCCCTCCCTTCCCTTCTCTCTAAAAAAATAAATAAAATCTTAAAAAAAAATAGTGCTATGAGAAATAAATGTCCGAAATTTCACTGCCTACGTTTTCTTCTAGGATTTTTATGGTTTCAAGTCTTACATTTAAGTCTTTACTCCATTCTGAGTTTATTCTTGTATAAGGTGTAAGGAGTTGGTCTAATTTCATTTTTCTACCTGTTTCTGTTCACTTTTACCAACACCATTTATTGAATAGATTGTTTTTACCCCATTGTATGTTCTTGCCTCCTTTGTCAAATATTAACTGACCACAAAGGTGTGGATTTATTTCTGGGCTCTCTATTCTGTTCCATTGATCTATGTCTGTTTTTATGCCAGTATAATGTTGATTTGATTACTATGGCCTTGTAGCATCGTTTGATATCAGGTAGCATGATACCTCCAACTTTGTCCTTCTTTCTCAAGATTGCTGAGGCCATTATTTGGGGTCTTTTGTGGTTCCACATAAATTTTCAAAGTATTTGTTCTAGTTCTGTGAAATACGTCGTTGGTATTTTAATAAGGATTGTGTGATTGCTTTGGGTAATATGGATATTTTAATGATATTAATTCTTCCTATCCTATATGCGTCCCTATATGCTTCCACAGTATATGCTTCCACTTATTTGTAGCTTCCTCAATTTCTTTCACCAGTATTTTATAGTTTTCCAAGAACAAGTCTTTTACTCCCTTGATTAAATTTATTCCTAGGTACATTATTTTTTTGTTGCAATTGTAAATGAGAATGTTTTCTTAGTTTTTATTTCTGATAGTTCATTAGTGGTGTATAAAGATGCCACCTATTACTGAATATCAATTTTGTCCTCTGCTAACTTTACTGAATATATTTATCAGGTCTAGTAGCTTTTTGATGGAGTCTTTGAGGGCTTCTATATACAAATATCATGTCATCTACAAATAATGATAGTTTTACTTCTCTCTTTTCATTTGAATGCCTTTTATTTCTTATTCTTGCCTGACTACTGTGGTTAGAATGTCCAGTACTATGCTGAGTAAGAGTGGGGAAAGAGGTCATCCCTGTCTTGTTCCTGATCTTAAGAGAAACACTTTTAGTTTTTGCCCATTGAGTATGATGTAGCTGTGGGTTTGTCATGTATGGCCTTTATTATACGAAGGGATGTTACTTTTATTCCCACTTTGCTGAGGGTTTTGATCATAAATGGGGATGGATTTCATCAATTGCTTTTTCTGCATATACTGATATGACTTTGTGATTTTTATCCTTCATTTTGTTTACACGGTGTACCACATTTACTGATGTGCACCAACCTTGAGTCTCTGAAATAAATCCCATTTGATCATAGTGTATGATCTTTTCAATGTATTGTGGGAGCTGGTTAGCTAATATTTTGTTGAGGATTTTTACATCTATGTTCATCAGAAATATCGACCTATAATTTTCTTTCTTGGTAGTGTCTTTATCTGGTTTTGGAATTAGGATAATGCTGGGCTTGTAATGAGCTTGGGAGTCTTCCAGCCTCTTGAATTTTTTGGAATAGTTTGAGAAGGATAGGTGTTACTTCTTCAAATGTTTGCTAAAATTCACCTGTAAAGCCATCTGGACCAGGACTTTCTTTGCAGGGATTTTTTTTTTTTTAATTGCTGCTTCAATTTCATTAGTTGTTATGGGTATATTCAGATTTTCTGATTCTTCCTGATTCAGTTTTGGTAGATTGTACGTTTCCAGGAATTCATCTATTTCACCCAGGCTCTCCAATTTGTTGGCATACTGTTGTTCATATTTTCTACAATCTTTTGCATTTCTGTGGTGTCAGTTATTTCTCCTCTTTCATTTCTGATTTTACTTATTTGGGTCCTCTCTCTTTTTTTCTTTATGAGTTTGGTTAAAGGTTTGTCCATCTTGTTTATCTCATAAAAGAATCAGTTCTTATTTTCACTGATCTTTTATACTGTTTTTTTTAGTCTCTATGCCATTTATTTCTGCTCTGATTTTTACTATTTCCTTCCTTCTACTTACTCTGGGCTTTGTTGTTTTTTTCGCATTCTTTTAGGTATATAGTTAGATTGTTTATTTGTAAATCTCACTGTTTTTGAAAATTACTTTCTTGGTTCTTAAAATTTGCCAAGCCTCTGAGTAACTAATACAGAGGTGTAGTAAAGTTATGGTGAAAATCATCTATTAGAACTGTGTGTTTCATCTTTTCCCAACTCATGTCTCTATTTAATCAAACAAAAACTCCCATGCCATTCATTAATTGAAATTTTGAAATCAATAAAATACGATTCTCTTGATAAAATAAAGTTTTATCATAACTATATACAACAACTAAGAAATGCTATCCCCTTATGTGTGTACCACCTAATCCTCTACCCCTTACTCCATCCTAAAAATAAATCACTAACTAGATTCAGTTCTTGAGACAGGATTATTCCTTACTTATTACAGTGCCATTAGTATTTTACAGTGTCTGGTCCAGAATATGTGCTCAATGAGTACTTGATAATAACACATGAAGAAATTATTAATAGTAAATCAATTCAAACTATTTTGATGCTTACCTTATTTCTTTATAAATATTTGTTTATATATGGTTTTGGTTTTTTAATTAAAAAAAGGGAAATTACAGAAAATAGTAAAATAGACTTTGCATTTTAGTAGTGGGAATATTGATAATAAAGTCACATTTGCTTAAAACTCTTAAAAATAAAGTATAATCTAGCAGATACAACAGAAGTTCCTTTTTTATGCCTCTTCCCATTCTAATACTTTTTTACTTTCCAGAAACCACTGTCATGAATTTAGTGCATCTCTTTCTAACACATGTTTTTCTATTGTTCCTATTTTATTTGTATTGTTTAATTTTTTAAAAATTGCATTGCTTATGATCTAATTTGCTGTATACAGATCTGGTTCATTCTTTATGACTTCTGTATAGTATCCTAGATCATCCTATAATTTATTCAACAACGTAAATACAAAATACTTAGGTTGTTTCCAGTTTTTTAGTATCTCAAATAATGGTGCAA